CTTTTAAGGCCGAGTTAAAGCCTGCCGTTTCTTGTATTACAAAACATTTTGTACGTTTTAGGCGATGGATTATTGAACAGATATAAATTACTAAACTATAATGTCCAAAGCATTCTTATACAATTATACAAGTGGACCTGACTATGAAAAGTTGTGATTTTATGTGTTCCCTGGTTATGCCTACTGATGTTTAAGGAATTCAAATTATTGTCAAGGTTTTAAACTCCTCCAAAAATACAAAGAAAGAGCCGTCGAATCTTAAAGGAGCTTTATTGGTAAGTAAACAGTTTATATATCTCTACCATTTAACTATTTATGCTCGCGTGTTTTAATTTTAATATTCTTTTATGGTTGCAAACTCTGTAGTAAGGTAAATGGTTTAAACGCGGTAGTATCGTTACATGATTTTGGATGTAGATAGTCCAGGTTGGTAGAATCCTGAGAACGACTTTTGTTGAGATGAAAGTCAAGATGAAATCAGAGTCTAGTTGACTCTGAAGATGAATACCGCTAAAGGTTGTCGAAACGTCAGTCAACATTAAATACAACAGTCCTTCAAAGGACTTTACTAACCTGGACGATTTACAAACTCTGTAGTGTTAATTTCAAGTGAAATCTTGATCCTTACATTATATTTAAAATTCAATATGGGAATTTCATTTTATTTGTGTAGTTTTTGTGAACAAAAAACAATATGCTTGTTTCTACACTTTGATTATTGATGAGGTTTGGTGTGAAACATTCTACGTAGTTAAAACACAAAAGAGCGACTTGAAAACTTCATAGCGAGCTGTTCGAATTATCTTGAACTTAAATAACGATGCAGATCGTTCTAGTACGATTCAAACATTTGGCTGGGAACGACTTGGAGATAGAAGAAAGAAAAAGAAAATGAATGAACAAATTTCTAAATAAAAATGGTCTTGAGACGTTTAAAGATCTTTTTATTCAAAAGCTAAAGTATAAATCGAGGTCTTTAAAATATTTTCAACATCAACTGTTTTTTATTGCCATACCTTTAGACAAATTACACTACAAATAGCTCTTTGTACTAAAGTGCACATCTGTGTAATTCTGTTAAAAGGAAATTGGCTAGGTTGAGTAAAATCAAAACCAAAAATGACAACAAATGTCATTTTCAACATTCTTTACACATTTATGCATGATACATAAAATACAACTGGACAGTTAAAAAAAGTTGCTTAATTCATCAACGCTCGAGATTTGCACCAAAAAATTGGTATGAATAGTGAGTAGGAGTTATACTTCCGATAGTTTATCTGACAGTAGCTAAAAATGTTGCAAATTATATCCATTTTGTTTTGGGAATTATTTGTTACCAAGAAGCTCCTTTGAATTAGCGTCAGCAAGAAAATGACACAGCTAAAAAGAAATTGTAGCACATATGTTTAAATACGACGCATGTTGTTTATGCTAACAAAGTTTCAAGAAATTTGGCTTCAGCTGCGAATGTTTTAAAATAATGGCTTTAAAAAAGAAAAGCACAAATAAATCCGAGAATGAAAGGTCTTTTAAATGTTCATTGACTCCTGTCGATTTAATTCTGGTTTGTTTTTCCATTCATCGTTTGACCTGACAGTCGCGTGCACTGGAACAGGAAGATTCGTAAAAGTTTTGAGAAAATACTTCTTTGGATAGCCAATCTTTTTCAATAATTCTGGTTGCAGTCTTGGTTGATCATACCATTGTTGGCCAACATATCAAATAAGCCTTAAGCATTCGTTGAGCTTAAAATCGTGCGGATTATTTTAAATCATATGTATTAACTTAATGTTAACATGAATATTATTGTTGAAGGTTTATATATTTTTTTTTCATTCAACAGAATTTTTAAAATGGCGCTGTACCTACTTTTTAAAACAGTTTTTAATAACATTAACTAATCATAGTAGAAGGAACTCTTCTCCGTCGATGTAAAATATTAACAATTATACCTGCTATTTCTAATTCTCGTAATGCTATGTGACATCACAAAAAAAAAGTAGACATTACATAAACTTCGATATTTTTAAAATGAAAAGCGATATGATTTATTTGTTTTAGAATATACACTGTCCTTTTGAAAATTATTTTGAATGAAAATATAGTCTAAATAGCACAAACTTTGTTTCATTTGCATTTTTAAAAAAAAACACAAAATAATGGCGAATGAAATGTGCATGAAATGTTCATTGATTCGTGTCAATTTAATTAAAAATTAAAAAAAGTTCTTAAATTCTGGTTTGTTTTTCTATTCATCATTGGTCATGCACGTTGCACGATAAAATCGTTATTTTTATTCTCGAGAACATAATTTTGGAATTGTCGTTAGTTTAAATGATTTATTTTTGAACTTTCATTGTTCAACGAAGTCGTCTCAAAGAAAACTACTTCACAATTCAACAACATCTCGAATCTATAATGTTAACAACAACTCTTCCCTTTTGTAATAATCCCAAAGTGTCAATCACATGAAATGCACGCATTCCGCAACAACAATAACGAAGAAAACAACTGTTCATCACACTCCCGACGTTGATAATATTGATCAATTTGTTTCACGAGTTTTACTATTTGACTGTCGCAATAGGTCTCTAATCACGGCTGCAGTTCTTCGGTGTCGGGTTTTCATAGAGTTTTCGTCTTTAGACTCAATTCCACTAGTAGTTTTGGGAACCATGGTATTTGATGGAGGCATATTCAACTCAAGTGGTATCAGTTGTTGTATTGAACGACGTAGTTCTGACGATCGAGGCTTTGTAGTACTCGCAACACAGACCTTTGCTACTCGAACAACACCATCCTTACTTACTATGAGCTCGGTAACTCTAGCCAATTTCACAAAATTCGAGGGAAAAATCATTTTTAATACAACAACATCACCGACTGCTATCTTCTCCTTCTGTGCTCCATGAAGTAAACGTGAAGTCTCTCTGACACTTAAAAGATATTCCGTTCTCCAACATTAATAAATTGATCTAACAAACGTTTCTGATATTTCGCATTTCTTGTTAGAGTTCGATTCGTACTGATGATTTCAAATTGTCGATCACTAGCTGTAAGAGTAAGTTGCTATCCGTAAATTAATTGAGATGGAGTGAGAGGGTAAGAAATCCTTCTTCGTCATCATAGATATATGTAAGTGGACGATTGTTAATGGTAGCCTCAATTTCTACCAAAATAGCTTTAAGCGCTTCAAAATCCATTGAGGATCGACCGAGAGTTTTCTTTAAACATCTCTTTGTACTTTGCATCATTCGTTCGTAGAATCCTCCTTGCCAAAGTGCCTTTTCAATGATAAATTCCCAATTGACACCCTTGGAAGCCAGTTTGCGTTGTATGTCAGTTGATCTCAGTATATTAGTAACTTCCCTTGAGGCACTTTTGAAGGTCTTGGCATTGTCTGATATTAGTCTAGACGGCAAACCTCTTCGTGAGACAAACCTTGGAAAGCTTGCAGAAACGATAGCACAGACAAACAACAAACAAGTTCAAGATGAACCGCTCGAGTGGAAGCGCAAGTGAACAAGCAGACATATACCTTATCCATTCTTTGATTGTTAGTAGCGTATAAGGGGCCTGCAAAGTCAATACCTGTGTTTGAAAAGGGAGGCTCTTCGCTTACTCGACTTGATGGCAAACAAGCTTCCTTCGCTGTTGGGAAAGCTTTACCTACGAATTTCTGGCATTTAATACATCCACGCACAACGCCCTTGACGCACTCTCGACCACGCAAGATCCAGTATTTTCCTCGAACGCAATTCAGAGTTTCTCTAATTATTTCGTGGTGTACTATGTTGTGACAGTCGCGTATAGTTAAGTTCGAAAAGGTATGCTTAGGAGGCAACAAAATCGGCTGTTTTGCACTATCAGGTAACGTAGAGTTGGCAATTCGACCTTCACACCGAATAATCTGATCATCATCGAGAAACAAACTAAGTTGTTGAACTCGTTACGACCGGCTCAAATACATTGTAACTCGTGAGAAAACACGGATGACTGAATAATTCGGATACATAATCTCTCAGCTTCGAGTAGCTCATTGGCATTCAACTCAGACGTAACAGATTATAGTTGCTTTCTTGATTTCTTGATAAACTTTAGAATTTGTGCTGTGACACGAAGTAGTTTGCTCTTCGTACCATATCTGTCTTGGTCAATAATCTTCTCCAAGTGGATGAAATTACGGTCAGGAAGCGATGTTAACGTCAAGGAATGTGTTATTGGAAGAGGATTTCGTATTATCTCGGTGTAGGAATGGTCCTTATCCAATTTTGGAGGTTGAAGACCTTCGGGCCATTTTTCTTCAGTATCTTGGAGGAACTGCGGACCATTCCACCAGATTCCAGATTGCACAAGTTCACTTACGGAACACCCACGAGAAGGCAAGTCGGCAGAGTTTATTACCCCAGGGTAATGTCTCCATTTATAACTACAAGTTAACTTTCTGATTTCGTTTACGCGGTTTTGTACATACGACTTCCACAGTTTACGATTTCGAATCCAACACAATGTGGTATATGAATCCGTCCATAGGATAATATCAGTGATACATTTTATTGAAGTCAACGCTTTCACAATCGAATCACCTAATCTTGCTAAGGTAGTTGCGCCTAACAATTCAAGTCGTGCTATGGTCTGTCCTTTGATAGGAACGACTCTTGTCTTTGCTGCTATTAGATTCACTTCAATTTCACCGTTTTTATGTTCCGTTTGTAGATATACAACTGCGGCAAAGGCAAATTCTGATGCATCGCAAAATCCATGTATCTGATGAAAAGGAGATGAATCGTATCCACCGTGGAAGTAACAACGCGGTACTCGTATGTCACTTAAAGCCCTTAAGTCGTGAACGAGAGAATTCCAACGTGATAAGGCCTTGCCAGACAGATCTTCATCCCAATTACTGCCAGAAGAGCAGAGGGTTTGAAACAACATCTTCATAGTGATAGTAAAGAAAGCAAGAAGGCCAATAGGATCGAATATTTTCGCAGATAGCTTTAAAACTGACCTCTTAGTTGCATCCTTCTGTCTTCGGGAGCAATTTGTATTTCATGAAAAGCCTTTTCGATATCGGCAACAAGCCCAATGGAGAAGCCTCGAAAGTTGATCATAGTGTCAAATAAACGATGAACAAAATTTGGTCCCTTTTCGATGCAATGATTGAGTGACTGCTCTTCCTTAGTAACTCTTGCCGAACCATCGAAAACCACGCGAAGTTTTGTCGTTTCCTTATCTTTTCGAAGTACGCCATGATGGGGTAGGAAATAACCGGTTTCATGTGCAACAAGAACTGAGTCAATAATTCCTCCTTTCACTTGATCTTTGATAATTGCATCGGATTCTTGCAATAAGGGTTTGTCTTTATCGAGAAACAATTGTTCATCACATCATTCGACCTGACAGCGGCATGCATCCGAACGAGAAGATTGGGAAAAGTTTTGAGAAAATGTACTTTTGGATCGCAAATCTTTTTCAATAATTCAAGATGCAGTCTTGGTTTATTGTACCAATGTTGGCCAACATTTGGAAGAATTATAATGGGTCTTATTGATTTTCCCATTTTTCTCGTACGTGCAAAAATAATCATAAACATCACTATCCATTTGACTTTTCCAATCAGAGGGTTCGCTATTTAATTGTAGAACGACACTTGAAAGGGCATCATTTTTCTTTATTGGTTGTTGGTTTCCAACTTTACACAACATTTCCAACTTCTCATCATCTGAAAATAAATATGGGTGTTTCAACGCTTCGTTGGCTGCAGGGGCGGATCTAGAGTATGTCAAATGCGTCGCGCGACTGATGTTTGAAATTTAAAAATTACGTATTCATATTAATTAAAAATACGAAGATTTTTTTGAGAGCAAACATGTTTCGACATTATCAGAATGCCATCTTCAGTGCAGAATGGTTAGTGTTAGGTAATATGATACGTAATATGATATAAAAAAAAATCAAAAAAAATCGTCGTTTTTCTCAAGTGTTTTTTAAAATTGCTGCTAATTAGAAATTATAATTAAAAATACATTAATTATTCTTACTTTCTTATCGCATTTACTTCGTGATAAAAATCCAGCTTTATTTATTATTGAAAACTAATGACTAATCCAATGAATATCTCGTTGGTAACCAGATCTATTTATGGCTACTAACTATGACAACTCAAAGAAATGTTTTCATAATATAAAAGTACAAATACATTTTTTCAAATTTTACTCAGTTATAAAGAGAAGAAATTTGTTTCAATCTCTCAGTTTTAAATTAAAACATTCAATTATTTAAACTTTGCACATAGAAACAATATGAATCAATTTGAGAAGAGTTCATTGTTTCGTTTGCCCAAGTCCATTATATGTACATGAAAGAAAGTCCTTGCCGAGATTCATATCATTCGTCAACATCGTATCATTACACAGAAGATAAGGGTCGATTTTCTGAAAGTCCAGTATATGCAATTTACCATGTCCTCGTGAATCGTTTATTAAATTTTATTTCGCATCATCAACATCCGTAAAAGCGACAATAGTTTGCCATATTTTAAGATTTTACAAAAGCCAGATTTTCTTGATTTTGAAGTCATTTTATAGTTCATTGCCCGCCATTACAAAGCATAAATTGATTAAACTCTATGTCATTTTAACGTAAACAACATTCCACGCAATTTCCACGCAAGTTAATTCGCAGTTACTTTAACTATCCGACTAACGCCGTTAAGTCGAGCAGTTAAGTTAAGGAGTTAACTACGGTAGTTAGCGCTAACTATAGTTGCTAACTACGTTTTATACAACCGGCCCCAGGAGGGAAACGTCAACAAAATTACTATAAATTATCAGCGCGGCCGCGTGGTGGCGGATGGTGGTCAAAGTCAGCGGAGAGACGCGGGCTCATGAAATAAAATTTTTGTCGCCCACCCTGATTTGACCACCACGATTGCGAGTATGGAAAATATCAAGTGAACTATAAAATGACTTCAAAATCAAGAAAAATCTCTTGGCTTATGTAAAAATCTTAAAATATGGCAAACTATTGTCGCTTTTACGGATGTTGATGATGCGAAAATAAAATTTAATAAACGATTCACGAGGACATGGTAACCGGATTAAATTGTAGCATATACTTTGGACTTTTCTCAAGAAAATCGACCCTTATCTTCTGTGTAATACAGTACGATGTTGACGAATGATATGAATCTCGGCAAGGACTGCTTTCTTTCATGTACCAATTACATATAATGGACTTGGGCAAACGAAACAATGAACTCTTCTCAAATTGATTCATATTGTGTTCTATGTGCAAGGATTTAAATAATTGAATGGCCTCGCTTTTACAGAATTTAAAACTGAGAGATTGAGGATAACAAAGGAAAAGGGTCGTTTTGTTTCTCTTTATAACAGCTGAGTAAAATGCTTGAAAGAAATGTGTTTGTACAGACATAAGTCACACATATTTGTAAAAGATGATAGTGATGGACTTTTTTATTATTAGAAAACATTTCTTTGAGTTGTCATAGTTAGTAGCCATGTAATCCAGCAACTGTCTTTTATCGGCTTGTGACATGTTATATTCACAGCTATACACAAAATACTTATTTGTTCTAATTCTACCTTTCAAAAACTGAGTTATAGAAACTATTGGGTATATTTGTTAATGAGCCTTAGCTATGGAACTTTTATTCATGCCTTTGTGATTTATTAGCTTCTTTTTGTCTAAAGCTTGGGAGTTTTATTTTTTTTTCTACTTTTTAAATCATCAAACAGTAGCTAGAGCTTTCTGCCTCTTAGAAAAGTATTGGCAGCCAAGATTGTATGTACATTAAAAATAAACATTTTTACATAGGAAATATGTGTAGTATGCATCTTGGTAAGTATTTGAATAGCTTTAAACAGCCATTGACACTATCAGTAATAGTGTATAAAAGAGAAAGATATTGTTTTGCTAATCATTGAAAGAAATGTTGTTAACCAAAAAAATTAATCATTGTTTTGTGGCGAGTGATTGTTTTGTAATCATTGTTTAGTCACAGGTATGATTGTATGAGCAAAAGAAGACAGTCATAGACTTTTTATTGATAGACTTGTTAGCAAACATTTCTTAAAGGTCATCATAGTTACAATGTAATCTCACGACTGTTATGACATATCTTTCCTCTGTCATTAAAATGTAACATAAGCATATAGAATAAATATTGTATTCATTTTGTCTTCATTGTCATTTCTATCCTGTTAAACTCATGCCATTTTGTTTATTATAGATTTTGAGTGTCCCCAGGTACATAGAATATTTCCTCTCAACTTATTTAATTTAAAATCTATTCTCAAAAATGTTTTTGTCGGAATAGTTTATAAAGTCTATTTGTGCATTGTATTGAACTTAATTCACAGGCAAAGAATTATTATTAGAAAACATTTCTTTGAGTCATCATAGTTAGTAGCCATGTAATCCAGCAACTGTCTTCTTTGCTTGTGACATTTTATATTCACAGCTAGATCAGTAGCTAGATCTTTATTGGCAGGCAAGATTGTATGTACATTGAAAATAACAATTTTTACATAGGAAATACTTGATGAAATATCAATAAAACCCACTAATTGACTGTCATGTATATTTTCTTCTTGTATAATAAACAATATGCAATGGATAGTGTACATATATCAAGCAACATGGACCTTCACCATGCATGCTGATGAAATGTTTTATGTATTTAAGAAACTAAAATCATTGTATCTCATGCAGCTGATACACAAAAGAGTAGTCATGAATAAAAACTGTTGTAAAGGTCATGTATCTATATGTATAATCATTGGTATACTTAGAACAACATTTATACTGTAGTACCTATTTGTTTTAACATAATCTAGCTTATTTTCCATAGAGCAAAGAGTTTCTATGATGCATACATAGTTTCTAGAGGGGCTGGAACCCACCCCTACATAGACATACCCACCCCAAATTGGTAACCCACCCCTACATTTGGTTCCAAAATTTCCTTACCCACCCCTTCATATGAGCCGAAAAAAAATTCGTTTTTTTGTACGGGAAAGCTGATTTTAGACTTATTTATGGTCTCTCTATGCATACTATATACAACACTGATAAAGTCTATGTATTCACTAATATTGTCAATCAAGCAAGTTCACCAAACTCGCCAATGGCTGATGCAATCAATGGCTGATGCAATAACATGGTGTCAAATTAGGGAGATATTTTTGGTCCCTTATAGGGTAATATGAAGATAGATGATGCAATAACATGGGGCAAAATTGAGTGATGTTGAACTTTGAAGTTATTAACTTTTTTTATCATAGATGCATTTCATCTATTTTTTAATTTTTCTAATGGGGAAAATCTCGGAACCCACCCCTACATAGACATACCCCTAGTTTATAACCCACCCCTAGAAATTCAAAATTTTTTCGACCCACCCCTAGAAGGCATTTTTGAAAATTCCAAGACCCCCCCTAAATTTAGGGGGGGTAGAAACTATGGCATATGATATTCAATCAAGCAAAATGCATAGGGAAAAACCCGCAATTTGAATATTTGATACATCCAAGGCTATAGGATTCATTGCTCGAATAACATTCTTTCTTTTTCTTGTCATTGAACGAATTTTACGTATTTGTAAGACAATGTCAGCGAGTTATGTGCACTAATCTTAAAGAAGTGGCTCTATCTCAGTTGAGAGTCTCGCTTGTGAGTTGCAAAGAGCTACCGGACGCAAGAAAGATAATACAAAATGCAATTGCTCTTGTGTAAAAAAGGATTTGTTACGTGGATAAATTGTTGGCTGTTTTTCGTCAGCAAAACTTGGGATGTTTTACAGCACTGACGAATGTAGTACATTGTCCATAAAGCTCTTATTCTAAAAGCCTTTGCCATGGAAGATACATATGTGACAAAAAACTCAAGGTAAAACCTTGTTGATCAACAACATCTCGCCCATAATTGTCTTTGAGAAGGTAAGCCGCCATATTTAACTGTGTTTTGAAAAGTTAACTATGCCCCATAGCATAGTTAACTTTAACTACCTTTTAACTGCATTTAGCGCTAACTACTTTTTTATACAACAGACTTAACCGCGTGGTTAAATTTAACTACTTTTTAATGCAAAAAGTGTAGTTAAAAAGTAGTTAAGAGCTTTATACAACCGGCCCCAGCCTGTGATCAACATTCATGAGCGCCATCTTGATTCACGCTTGCCTACATTTTTTTCATGTAAAGATCAACAAGAAAGATGCAAAAATTGTTGACTTGGAAGCTCAACTATCTGAAGCTATAAAGGTAAAAACAAGATTTCACTTTGAAGAAGTATATTGCAATGCTCAAGGTTGAACCAATACAGAACGTTACTTTTGCATGTATGCATACAATTACTCATGCGCATGTACACGAGTAACCAATGAAAGACATACTAACGTAATTATATATACGGTGCTTACCGCTTTTAACAAGTCAACCACCATGTGTTGTCTGTGCTTGCATGTTGTTAAAGCTGTTGCCTTTATTTTCTTTTACTTTTCATAAGGCTGGCGACCTTAGAGATCAGGTCCATCAAGATCTTGAAAAAATCAAACGCAAACTCTCAGAGAGACTTGAAGCTGAAGAGGTATAGCTTTGTTCTTGGAAAAGACAGTCTTTTTTCAACCTTATGTCCGTTTTTGTTTTGTACATAGATTCGTGATGTACAACGCATCGACTTATTGTAAACTTCTCTTTTTGAGTGTTTTTATTACGTTGCTACTGAATAAAAACGCATGAAAAATTTCAGTTGAAGTTCAATATTACAGAAAACGAAAGCTGCCAAGAATGAGCATGACATTGAGAGATCTCGAAGACTAATGGAAGAAAGTCGAAAAAGAATCGAGGCAGACATCAGACATGCTGAAGACAAAGTAAGTTTTACATTTTTTTATATATATGTATATTTGGGAGGTAGCATGAATAAATATTCACATGTATTTTACTCTTTCCTTTAACATAACACATTATTATTATACCCACCCCTCCCTCAAATTATCATTTTCCCTCTGTTCTTTTATACGAAGCCAGTGTTTCAAAAGTTTTGAGCGACGAAATTTACATTTTAAATCAAGTATGCACGCAAGCATCATACAATTAGAAGTAGAAATGATGAGATGGTTATTGTAGATCGATATTCATTACCACACTCGTCATCAGCTTGATTGCATAGCAAATGACTAAGCTGAGACCTTTACCTAAAGAGTAGCCTCGGCTTCTGTCCTTCCGTTAAATGTCTATGAATTCTATTGCCTCTTTTAATGGCCTTCTGATATATTTTGCAGATTTTATGCTAGCATTGTAAAAGATGAATGTTTTATACAATTTCTGACCACATGAATTCTTCGATTATCAGATACAATCTGTGGAGAATTTATTGAATGAAACAATACAAAATAATGGTGAGTATCCGTGTAGTTCTATATTATATCATGTAAGCAATAATTACTTCATCATCTTGCAAATTTCAAATGGATGAATTCGGCTCTCAAAGAATTGTAAACATCCTTTTCAGACGCTGTCCGACCAGTACATCGAATAACACATCATATATATTCTCCTGGTAGTCATGGTGATCATGTGCGCTACCAGGACAATAGCAGTGCCGCTCCAGTAATACCACGTTCTATAGAGTCAAAGAACATAGCTAATCAACCAGTGGCCGGTAACGTGAGCGAAGTTCATCATCACTATGGTAACGTACTTCGAGAATCGAAGACTCAACCAATCAAAGTATCTCCTGAAGTGATCAATTATCATCATGGTGACATAGTTAGCGAGTCAAAGAATCAACCAATCAATGTATCAGCTTCTTCTTCTCCTGAAGTTATTTGTCATCATCACTACGACAACGGTGTATCATTACCGGCAGAAACGAACAGAAGATTTGAAACAAACGTTAGCGAGATACATAGACATCATCACTATGGAAACGACAATCATACGATACAGTTTAAAAAATTGAAAAACTCACATAAAAGGGAATACTGCAATTTTCCTGAACACGATGAATTGGTGAGTTTTCCGGTTGAAACAATTTCATCCGATCTCATTTGAAGTTATCTTACAATTTAAGGGGCTGTTTACATGATCCCGGCTAAAGGGGACTCAGTGAGGCGTGATATGATTTCGAGGCATTGAAAGGAGGCAAACTTTAAGCGTAAAAATTACAACTGTTTGTTAAGGGCCACAAGTCATTCCTGCTGAAGTTCATAAATTAGGCAAAATTGGTTCTTGTACTTTAAAATGTTTTGCGTCGTTATTAAATCAGAATATTGTGAAATTTCTCGGGAAGATTTATCTAATGACAAGTATTTAATCGTTTCTATTTTCCAAAATCATTTAACGCTTGGCTGAAGCCTGGCTATCGGGCTCATGCAATCAGCCCCTAAGACTTTCTTTTCATAGGAGGAGACGTCCTATCCCTTGAAGAAAGACTGGCTATAACCCAAAGTAAATTGTCTTCTCAAATAACTGAGGTATAAAATCATTCCAATTGCTGAACTTTAGCGCACAAGCTACAAACATACAGAATAATTTTTTAATAAAACTGTCAAAAAATTAGTTGGGTATTTGAAGTATAGCTAAATTTCAATATAATAAATTCATGAAATAAACGCCATAACGTACTTGTAATTTTACTTTCGCTGAAATATTTCAAAAATCTCTTTTATAGAACAAGTTGAACACATTGAGGTCTGATCTACAAAACCTAGAAAACACGGTATGTTGCTCATTTTTTCATAAAAAACGACACTGGGGCGTGTTTGAACGGTCTATTGTTCGGTCTGTTGTTTTCTTTAATGAATTATATTACTAGCAAGTTGTAGCTTGCATACGGTCGAATATGCCTCGAAATAATTTCTTGTATTTCAAGGCGTTTTATTTTTTTGAACACAGTACAATATATATGTTTTTTTTAAGGAAGTGTTAAACAACTGGGTAGTTTAGACTTTGCGTTAGCAGTTTATTACCGCTGATGTTTATTCTCGTTTTTCAAGAAAATGAACTTAATACGTAGCTAGCATTTTGATCTTGAATTCGTAAAGGTTTCCCACTGGTTGAGAGAAAAATCAAATGCAAAAACCGTCGAATCTCACCTTGACGGAGCTCTTGCGGTAAGCGACTTCTTTGCATCACTATTTGATTTTGTACTTTTATCAATCGGATTTTCAATCATCAAAGTGTATTCTGGTTGTTAATAGTGTGTTGTGTTGATTACATTGAACTAAAATACATGGAACACTACCTGTGATACAAAACCCTAAGAATTTTTTGAAGCCGTTGTTTTACACCAGATACGCGTGTGTGGTAATCAATTTTCACACACGCGTGTCTGGGGTAAAGTCTCGCGTGTCTTGTGTAAGATTTGCTTTCAATTATTTGCTTCATGTAGCGTTCCATGTATTTTAATTCATTGGTTGAATATGTGTGATTATATACTTGCTTACTTGAAATTAATAGTTCAAGTAGGACTTGGTGTTAGGACAGTTTTCATCGTTACAAATGATATTGTGGAGACAGAGATTAAAACCTTTCAGTATATTTTACTTCGGCAATTCTTAAATCGTTTTATTTTGAAATGGCTGGTTCTATTTTGATTGTTGTGCAGCATGCATGTACATTGCATCTACAGTGTTGAGCTACGTAAATTTGTATGTGATTATTACTGCTTTGTTGTTGATTAGAATCAACAGGGTGACTTTGATTCAAATTCATTCTCATAGTAAACTAGCGTTAGAAACTTGCTCTTTTCTGGGAATACAAAACACTCGGCTGTCATTATTAGTGCTTAAAGCAAAGCTCATTACCAGAATTGTGGTACATAATGGCGGATAAGAAAGCTATATTTTTCAAAATGGCGTGTTTTTTATTAGTAAAGGAGTGGTGGAAATTTTAAATTCAAAATTACACATGATAGTATAGCATATTACCCCGCTGCCACACTCGATAAATGTGGTAAAGCTGCCACACTCGATAACTGTGGTAAAGCTGCCGAGCATTATAAATTACCTGTAAATGATAAATGAAAACGACTACGAAGAGCACAGACTTTCCCCGATATGTGACAAGAATGTTGGTTTGCAGCTAATGTTTCTATAGCAATTATATGAGTATGCTGAAAATGATTGACGAACTCGAGCATATAATACATCACCTAGTCCTCATATCCCAATTGCCACACTCTTAAACTGAAGTCCAATGTTTCCTTTACTGAAATTGTTTGTTTGATAGTTGATTTAGTCACGATAGAATACTTCCAAAAGCTCTTAAACTTTTGACAAATTTGCTTCTGTAGAATAATGAATAAGGTTGTCGCTTTTGAATGTGTTGCTATGAGACTCCAAACATTTGCATATTTTTTTTCTTGAGCATGTCAAACATCTTAATTTTCGAAGACAAAACCTACGTTCGTGCTCTTTATATTTATTTTTATTTTTATAAGTTCCTCCAAAGATTGATTTAAAAAGAAAAAAATAGTTTTAAGAGCCTTATAAAACTCTGTGAAACTCCCACGCTTATTGAATATTAGTTGTATAAAAGAGGAACCGCTGAGTGCGAGCGCAGTCGCAAAATGTCCCTAATTTCTGGTGATGTTATACTTCGGCGGATGTTTATTTTCTGTAGAGACTACAGGATCACATGTTGACATTGATTGATCATCGCGCAAATCTTTTATCATCTCGTGAAAACCATAACTCATGAATGATATCGCTGCCCTACCTAATTTAAAAGGTCTACACTGTTCATGGTTGGGTCGGTGTTGGTGGGTACGCTGTATAAGAAGGTAAATTACAAAGATTGCTACAACTAGATGATGTCGACTTGACTTTGGCATAATGTCTTGGGTTTCTTCGTGTTACTGTAATATCCTATATCATTTCTTCAAAACATTACAATTTCGAAGAAATGCCTCGTTTTTATACGTAGCCGGGGGAGGGATAATAGTGAAATTGAAATCAGACAAAGTGAAACATTTGAAAATGCCTAATGAAAATGCAATAACTTGTTCATATGTTACTTTATTAAAATAGATATAATTTTACATGAACACTACGTTCTGGGATTTTTAAGTCATAGAACGGATTGATGTGGAATTAATTAAAGAGCAAATTATAATTATAAATTATTGAAATCCAGTAAATTGTTGCCAATCATTGCATGGAGTAGGCCATTTTAGTTCAAATTCTTTCCAACGGTTTAACATACAAGAAGACTGTTATTTTGTAACGATCTATATACGGAAGCTGAATGAATTAAAAACATACATTATTATATTTACACGTTCTTTCTATTCCATATTTATTCAACATTTACTTGTTTTTGTTTTTTTTTATTGAACAATCAGAACGCTTGTTAACATTTTAAAAATTTTCCAGATGTGTTGAATTCCTTTTGTATTAACTAACAACATGCCAGCTTTCAATGAAAACGCATCATTAGCTTTCGTTTCATTACAAAACGTTCTTTTGTTTTAATTCTGGTGTCTTTAATGTTTTCTCGGTTGAACTTTATTTCTTCAGCATTGCACGAACCATTATAGGTGATTATAATCATTACGTGATAATATTCATTACATGTATCGGGGCAGTGGCTAGGCTTAGCTTGGAGCAAGCTTAGAATGGAGAAGATAGGTGTCTCCTTCCCTTCACTAGCCTGTGGCGTCACCTTGGGCAAGAGATAGTAACCTCAAGCCTCCCATTACCTTTGGGAAACAGGTAGAGCAGATAATGCTTTTCAACCATGCAAAACTGTTCATATAAAGACTGATGATTGAAAACCGGCAGGAAGGCAGCACAAACCAAACTAATTCAATGTGAGTTAGTATTTTGATGAAAAAAACAGTTATTGTGGCAGCGTAAAACCACTTCAATGATTGGCAAAAGTCAAAATAGTAATTGGAAATGTTTAATGTATATCCTGTGGTGCGAGAGATGTGTTGCACTGCAGGTTTAATTTTGGTGTCACGTTACCTTGGTAATCATTATACTACAGCCAAAAAATAATGGTGAACAGATGTGAATTTTGCTGTCTTGAAGTGTTATTGGAGGGTGATATGTACAATGCTCAAAAGGCTCTTGATTATTGGAAGAAACATTTCAACGCAATGTAATTTGTTCGCACTACGGCAATGCAACACAAGTAAGCCTGTTAGTAAAACGTACTTTCTATTTTGCAAACGATCACTTCTTCACTACATTTGCCTCAATTAGATAAGAATTATGATGCAATAAATGTCAAATACTATCTTGCAACGTGGATATAAACTTAGCAATTCAAACAATTTCAAACTATCCATCGAAAGTTGAATTGTCTCTCTTCTAATGTTGCAATAGAACTAGCCTGCACGAGAGCCTTGCGTGCGAGTGAATGACTGCAGTAGCAACTGTCCTCGTCTCTTTTTTTAAAATTTAGTATTTGGAAGATATTTCCAAACTACCAACGTTATGTCGTTTTTTGCTGCGAAAAAGTTAAGTTTTTTTGATCATGCATTGAGCATAACTAATAATTTACGCAGTCTATTGTAAAGACATTGGAAATTTATTAAATAACTTTTGATTCTCCTCGCTGACCTGTATATCTTTGACGGCTTTGTTGATATACATCGTCACATATTGCATTTAACACAAAATGTTTGTCTTTGAATGAACGTAAAAAAGCAGCATGCACGTGCACGTTTAACTTATAGTGTTGATAAGGTTTATATTATTTAGAACCATTATTCTTTAAAATTTCACCGAATAATGTTAAAAGGTTTAGCATCCTCCCAACTGAGTGGGCCACACTTTAAAATTAGCATAATTTGCGTCAAGTAATTTGTAAATCCGCTGAATACTTTCGAGATGAACTAATTTGTAATGACTTAGACCAAATTGGCTGTCAATGATGTTTTGTTTTTTTTTTTTGTAGATTTTCAAAGTCTTAACTTTCGAACATTCTTTTATTTGCAGAGCAATTGAAAGTACACCTGGAACTGGTACATCTTCGTTTAGCGCTCTGAAGTCTTGTTAAAACATCTGAGACAGAGAACAAGTATGTAAAAATTATTTACAGTTACTATTGTGCGTTAATGATTTAAGTGAGTGTAAAATTTTATTGTTCTAATGTATTGAGCAACCTAGCACATGTAAACACTGTTTCAAGAAGTCTGAAGTTTTCTTGTTCCAATGTATTGAACCAACCAGTGCACATGAAAAAGCTTTTAGAAGTTTAGAATTTTACTGTTCAAATGTATTGAGTGACTAGTGCACATGAAAAAAATCTTTTTCGAGTATGAGGTTTTCTTGTTCAAATATATTGAACGACCAGTGCTCATTAAAAACCTCTTTTAAGGAGTGTAAAATTGCTCAAATGTATTGAAATCTATATTCTTTGCATGTTGGAAGATTAAGGTATTTTGATATGCACTACGTAAATCAACGTACAACTGTAATTTGTAACTTTACTTACCACAAACTCAATCAGAGATTACAGCGGCAAAAAAATACAAAATATAATAACTAAAAATATAAATAAGTAAAAGATGCATCGAGTAAGAATAAAAATTACATTACATTAAATAAAAGATAATGCCTGCTTTCCATGAGTGCCGTGCAATTAACTGCGGTTTATACATGAAGTAGCCATAGTAAAAATATTCAGAAACAACTCTTACTGGGGAAAAAAATCTCAAATAAGTTGCTAGCTTCTCTAAATTGGCTAAAAGAACAAGCTTGATTTATCTTGGTGAGAGGAAGTAAATGACGCGAACACAGTTAATAAAAGATATACTTTTATTTACAAGACGTAATAAACCACTAAGCTCCGCTTTTAATCATTTCCTGTGCTCAGACTGAAGTTTTACGTGCATGGAGTATCTCACTTCTTTGTTATTGAAGTACTTCAGAGTATAGATTCTTGCTCAACGTACATTGTTTTAAATGAAGTGACAATCCTTACACCACCGTCGAAGCTTTTTGTTTTGTTGTCGAATTTTTGGTGATTGCTTTCCGATAAAACAAGCAGTTCTTTGTCATTGGTTGAAATCATTTCCAATGTTTCAGCTAATCTTCATCCCCAAGTGATCGAGACACTTACCAAGGTGTTGAAACACTTGGCTTCCTAAGTCTCTTTTAATATGGATAATAAAAGCCTTTTGAATATAGTTAGTCATAGAAAAATTTAGAACTTTTTTGTTTTGGGATGTTTTGTTCGAAAAGAAATCGTCCAATTTTAAATTTCAACAGCATATTGTTCTAACTTTTGGCATTTAAGCTCTTTAAGTTCATCTTCCTCGCTTTTGTGAAAATGTTAAATAACAGAACTTGCGATGTAAATTCTGCACGCTAATAAATCATTAAATACTTTCCTATCTTCTCCATAAGCCTTTATAGAAATGTTTTTTGGCCAATTGCTTTCACGATTTCCATTGTTCAGGCAACTATTTGCAACTTGTAGTTAAAGTTAAAGAACAGAAAAATAATGTGAAAAATCCATAAATGATTATGTAAAATGTAGTATAACGTAACAAAATCCATCATAAATAAATTTCAAAATGGAAAACATTTCGTGATTTATTTAAAATTTCGATCAGATATTCTGTTTGAATTTTTCACTGAGGCTGGTTACCCAAATGTTTGCAATTGTGATTTCATATCCCGCACGCCGCTACGTGTCTAAGATCATGAATATTACGTAACTTTTAAAAGCAAGTGCAGTTTTAATAGAAAAGCAAGCTATATACACAAGCTTATATATATCATACATCTTTGAAACTCGCTCACTTTCAACTACATGAACTAAGCGCACCAAAACAATCTTCAGAAATTTTTACTTAGCTTTGGTCTGCACACGAAGATCATGCATGACGTGAGAGAATAAAATTTGCATTATTAGCGGCCTCGCATCAAGATGAGAAATCGATTTTGGTTGGTGTCTTTCTCAGAGTCGGGTTCCACATCATCGTCAGTTTTCCCCCCTTTTTTACGTACATATTCAATAATCTCAAGCATCACTTTAGCAAAATTTTCCGCTGAGAAGGTACCTTTCTGGGATAAACCGTAAGTAGAACTTTTCCGTTGTGCACATTCTTGACGATCGAAATGTGTAGCAGGCTTGGTATTCTTAGCACAGTGCATTTTCAAGTGAATTATACGTTCATCAGTAACCAAAGCCACCTTTCCGTTGACATGGTGAACAAGACGAACAGAATCATTAAATAAACCCGAGTTATATTCTGTGTTCATTAACATGAGCGACGACTGATGTTTTTCCGTGACAGATGAGAAAGTGTCAATCACTACCTTTGAAGAAACATCTTCAAAGTAGTAACCTGTAATGCACTTGGAGACTGGCGTGTAAATAACTTGATCATATGCCTTGATTTCTTTCACGCTTGGATTAAATTTCATGACTTTTAATAGATTTCCCTCCATGTTGTAGATAAACAGTTTATAAAATCTGCGAAAACGTTCCTCTCGATGAATTATGATTGCCATTTTGTTATCAGAAGAAATGGATAACGATTTTAATTCACCAACAAGTGGATTACGATTGCCTTTTGCCTTTAGCGCCTTCAGAAAAAGCTCGCCATCTTTGTTACATCCGCACACGGTGATATTGCTTTGATCACTTATCACAAATGCAACAACAATTCTTTCATCTTGTGTTGCGGCCATGAACAGATTTCGTGCATCTTTGTTGTCCAGGAACTTTAATGTAGACTGTTGGACAATACCATCTTTTGAAAAAACTGTCATTAGATATTTCCAAGTGTTTCTACTTCCGTAACCAGAAAGAACATAAACCACGCCTTTGTTATCAACTGTCATGCATCTAATCTGCCAATCATCAATCCCGCAATTTTCTTTGCACCACAGTTGAAGTTTTCCTGTTTCGCTGTTGACTTTTTGGAGACTTTTTCCAGAAAAAATCAGCATTTCTCCTTCGTTGGTTATTGTGATTTCTTTGTCGACAAATAGGTGAGCTTCATCTTTACAAAAACGAGATTCGTACCAAGGTGTGGAAGAACTCGTGATTCCTTCAACATCTTTAAAATACAAAGGATGAAACTTGTGCACACCTGATTCAATCAATGGCCAGTCAAGAACAGCTCGTTTTTGAAATGTGTTGTTTGAAATAAAATCGGCTAGTAATAAATTAGTTATCACTATGCTGTCAACGTTTCTATCCCTCCTGTTTTTATTAAGTGTGAATTGTGAAAATGAAAAAAGCTTTTCGACCTCGGGCAACGAATTCAAGTTTTTCAAGTATACCATAGCATCCGTTTCTGCTGCCTCACTATCATTAAAATTTCGAAGAATACAACTTGCGATGCAAATCTTGCATGCAGTTATTCTGTCTTCAATTTTTAATGATGCATTATGAAATGCTAAGCCAGCTTCTCTGTCTGCCTCTGTAAAAGACTCTTCAGCCAACTGTTTTCGCTCTTCTTTCAACTCGAATTCTTCGTTTTTAGTTGACTCGGCAAGTTTCAGTCTTTCAATACCCTTACTGAAATGACTAATACTACTGTCGAGATCTTGTCTGCATATTGCCTTTAATATTGTTAATTCGCCTTCAACAACACCTAGGAGTTCCAGCAGTGTTTTCCACCTTTTTGTAAACCTCCTATCACGCCCAAACTTATTGTTATTGGATCCATCGCAAGTTTCAGCAATCTAAAATTGGTTTCGTACAATACAGGTATTACATTAGCAAAGCAAGTTTGTATTTGGCTCGTGCTATGCTGACTTCTCAGCAAAATAATAATTTATGGGCTGTTTACATGATCCCGGCTAACGGAATTTCAGTGAGGCGTGAATGGTTTCGAGGTATTGAAAGGAGTCAAAACTTCAAGCGCAAAAATTACAACTGTTTATTAAGCGCCACAAGTTATTCCTGTTGTAATTCTTAAATTAAGATAAATCAATTGTTTTCATTTTTAAATGTTTTTTGTAGTTGTCAAACCAGAATATTGTGAAATTGCCAGAGAACATTTATCTGATGATGAGTATTGAATCGTTTCCATTTGCCAAAATCATTTAACGCTTGACTGAATCCCGGCTATTCGGGCTCATTTAATAAGCCCCTAAATTTGTTTAGAAAATGATATTTCATGCATTGTTTTTTCAGCGACTGAGCACAAATATAATTGCGTTCTGTCGTTACTTAAAGTGCATATAAAGCTTATGGGATTTTTTGTATACTGAATCGTGGTATAAAACGTTATATTCCAAATTCTTTTTCTTCGTTGGACCAATAGTTCTCGTGCTACACTCAATTAAAATTATCAAAAAACTGGCTATTTGAGTTGCTCGATTTCTCGGCTATATACTGGAACTGCGCGGTCATTTGAGGAAAGCGTGACGTCATGAAAGTAACATTTCAGCAAGCATGCATTAAAAATATAGTCACAGAATAGATAACCTTAGGTTATCTATTCTGTGATATAGTGAAATATCTGCTTTGACATGCTTAATCGCAGTATAGTTGCCCGAAAAAGGGCATAGGACTTCACGGCATTTCTTTTTATGGATCAGAAGATCCTTTAAAAAAGAAAAAGAAGAGAAAGTGGCTACATTTCGTCCCTTTAAAACGAGCGAAATGCCCCATAGCAAAGATGTGGAGCATTTGCTCGCTGCACTTCAAACCTGAAGATTTTACCAGACGGTATAATAGTTTGCAAAGGCATTGATGATAGAAAGTGCGCCTTCTGAAATGAATTGTAGACAGGTAAGGATTTTTGTTTTAAATCCTGTATATTTTCCGCGTGAGACTGATTTCTTCGATGAAGGAAGCTTGTTTTAAATTCGTCAAAGATTTTGTAATGGAAATTTAATTTTTGCAGTTGATACCATGTTGTTGTAGGTTGTTAGAGTTATTTTGTCTAATCAAGACTTTTGAAGCTGAAAGTGCTACCTTTTTGGAAGACAGTGATAGTGATGTTGAATTTTTTGATGTCTTGCAAGTTCAAACAATTGCAGCACAAGCAGAAGTACAGGTATTTAATTTATTCCAATAATTTCTTTACACTAGTAGATTGTAAGATCTACAGATAATATTTTTTTTTGTTTCAGAATGGGTTTTGTCAACTGCATTTGGCACCATTGATGGTAAACATATCAATTTTCGTGCACCTCCAAACTCAGCCTCTGAGTTTTTTTAACTATAAAAAACATTTAAGCATAGTACTCTTGGCAATTGCAGATGCAAATGCTAAATTCATCTCATTTGATCTTGGAGCCCCTGGCAGCCAGTCAGATGGAGGAATTTTTAAAGACAGTCACTTTAAAAACATACGCAAGACAGGCTATTTCCCACAAGCCTAAAAACTAAGAGATACATTATTGCCTATACCTTACTTTCTGCTTAGAGATGAGGCCTTTGCTTTGAATGAAAATCTAATGAAGCCATATCCACACCGGACTGCAATAGGTGATGAGAAAGTTTTTAACTATAGACTTTCACGAGCACAAAGAATTGTCAAAAATGCATTTGGATTGATGTGTAGTCGATTCAGATGTCTTTTGAGAACATTGGAGTTGGATGTTCCACATGCAATGCAGGTGGTGAGGGCCTGTATGGCACTGCATAACCTTTTGATAAGTCAGAAGGACCCGTTTTACACACATCCAGGATGTATGGACTTTGAAGATATAGTAGGAAATGTTGTGAATGGTTCTTGAAGAACACAATTAGGCAATGAAAATAAAATATGTGACATCCAGCCAGATGCCAGTGCCCACCCATCATTAATTCATGCTAGACAAATCAGAAATGCTCTTAAAGACTATTTCTTTGAAGAAGGGGCAGTTGATTTTAAATGGACAATGACAAACTAAGGAATTATAACAAAGAAATAAATTTACCTCGTTTGTATATAAAAAATATATGAAAACTTGTTTAGCTGGTTGATGTTGCCCTTTATATACACATAAATACAGTAAAGGAAACTCAAAAACAAATGTATAAGTTATTTTGATGTAGAAGTTTAATCATTGAAACATGTTCATTTAAAATACCCTAGTTTAATAAGATGGTGGTTGAAGCTGATTATTTATTGATTGTTCTGCTTGATAAAATGGTTGGTATTGAGCCCGTGGGGGCTTTAAAAATAGTCGATTGTATGGCAAACTTGACACGTCTTTGTATATCTTTATCTGCCAGACCGGGCATTGCATGTGCTACATCTTTACCAAAAATATCCCACTGGTCTTTAGGAGCAGATGTTGCTTATTTTGCCAACTGGTTCAAGGCAGATGTTGCTGACTCAAGAAATGGACTGTGTGATTGTTTTCTATTCTTTGAGCTTGAAATGAAACTACATTCACTTCCTGTATCTTCATTATCAATAATTAAATCATTCAATTGGTTTTCTCTGTCTGGTGGAAAACCTTCATCAATAGCATTTGTAAATACTTTACGATTGTGTGATATAATTCATCCAGGAAACTGCACTGGTCAAAAAACGTCCATTTTGATACATAAACTTCACTAGCCCCACCTCCTGTACCTCGGCTTTTTCTTATTTTTCAAACTTCTTCTCTATAAAATGTTCTTAAGCTCTGTATCTCTGCTAAAAGGTTAAGCCAGACATTTTATTAGAATAGACTTATTTGAATCCAAATAATAGTATATAAAGCTAAAGATGGATATGTTTTCCTTTACCAATTTTGGCCTGCAAACAAGCTGAGTTAGAAGTTTAAACACATTGCCATGTAAGCAGGACAAGATATTTTTTCTTTGCGATTTAAGGCAAACCAAAGAATATAAACAAAGTTTATACATCGCTAAAATGCAATTCTTTCGACTCCATTAGAATCTTATCACTCACCTTTGATGCTTGGCAAATCAACGTTTGGCAGTTCAACTTTGATTGCTTGCTGTATTTCCCGGTAGTGTGCATTCTTCATATTTCTGTTTTTGTAATGCTCACTTTTGGTATTCCAAATACTCTCTTTCTCTGACAGTATCGAGAACCAACTCCCACTTGATCGGTCCAGTTTTTTTTATCACCCGCCATGTTTTGTTTTATGTGAAGCCTGTGATCTACTTCGCTCCTTGATATGTGAGACTTTTTATTTGACAGCCATCTACACGACCCATTTTTTGTATGTGATAATTTTAATTTGTCACATAAAAGCTAGCACGCCAGCTTTTCAAAACAGGCAATTATTAAATAAAATTTGACAACTTTTTTGTCGTTTACACGGTCAAATTAACATTGTCAACTAAAAATTGTCATATTAAAATTGCTCGTGTAAACGGGCCATTAGACCCATTGAGTTCTATAAGACCTCAATGATTAGACCACAATCGCTACTAGTTACTTGCATGACGTCGGCGGATGTATGAAACAACAACTCGTTTCCAGAGCCCATACGGGAAAACATTGGGTGCAAAATCCAGACTTTGAAGGGGGATTAAAAGAAAAGTTTTACATTCTATTTTTATTAATACGAATATGTGTTTTAAGACATGGTCTTTCAAACAAGACCAAAACGCCATAAGGTTTATATGCACTTTAAATACACTACGTGTATACAATCTTTATAATGTGATATACAGTCTGTCTTTGGGCGTTTTTTGTCACCAGAGACGTAACCAACTTACAAATTTGTTTATTCTACGTAAATGTTTCATCATCAAGTTCATTCATTTATGTTGTACGTACAGTGAGTGAACTTCAAAATATTTACGTAGCATGAACAAACTTGAGTGCTGGTTACGTCACAGTTCGTGACATTTTCTTAGCCGAGTTGTAGATCTTGCGTTAGCCAAAATAAATTTTAACTGCTCCATTATGGATATAGTTAGATTTAAAAAGGAACTTCCTTGGTAAGATAATGGACGTTTATTGCCAAAAGCGTTAGATAAAGATATTTCGAAAGGAAGCCAATGAGTTTGATGGACAAAAAGGAACTAAGACTAAAGGTACGTTTACACAAAACAATTTGTCGGGCCGACACTTACGCCATATTACGTGATTCTTGCCATATATGGAACATTTGTTGTGAAAGACAAATCGTTGTGTGTAAATAATGCATCCGATGTATTTACGCGATTTCAAAAAAGAAAACAAATATGTCGAAGAACAATAGTAAAGCGAAATTAAAAGTTGTCATTGTAGCTACGAAGGTAATGTATATTATTATTATTGCTTCAAAAAATAAAGAAAAGAAGAAAACAAATATAAAGATCGGTGTGAGTATAAAAGTGCAAATCAAGGTAAATTTGCCGTGTTTCTTTTTTTAAGAACATATTCTTAACTATTTTTTCTGAATCTCTGCAGCTTTTTGCTTTTGAATAAAAACAACGACGCTTTCAGCACTTTCTTTTTCCGTGTTGAAAGAAAACATTTTGATGATTTTTCGATAATCATAATTTGCTTGTTTCTGAAGCCATAGCAACATAGTAAAAATCGGGAACGAATCTGTAGTTTGTTATAGATTTTCATCCGATTTTTTTAGTCGGCGACTTTCCAAATATGGCAAGAACACGTAATATGGCGTCATTGTCGGCCCGACAAAGCGCTGTGTGTAAACGTACCTTAAGTGTAAGATATCGTCAAAATTAAAGTAAAGATCATGGTGTAGAAAGTGAATAGGATAAAGAAAGTATTATTTAGAGGAAAGAAAATGTTGGTCATCCAGGGGATGAAAACGTTCAAGTAGATGATAGCAATAAAGTTCATGGGCAATAAAAAGGATAACAAGGATACGAGAGAAATGAGAATGATAAACGTTTTCCTAGAGAAATTCAAAGCATTGTAAATAAGGACAGACTTGGGTCTTGGAAAGTCACTTCAGCAACACAAATAATCTTTATAAAACAGTAAAAGGGTATATGCTATGGGCAGAACGATGAACGACATAATGAAAAAAAAACTATGTGTACACAGGACGACAACAAAAGGAGAGAAAAATGATGCGAAAAACATGTCATGCTGAGACGAATTATAGTGTGGTTCTTCAATGAAACTTATAGGAGGGATTTTAAAAGAGAAGCAACAACGTGAAAATAAATAGTAAAAATGTTAACGAATCCGAAAGTAATGAAACTGTGAAGAAATATCTCTTCAAAAAGTACAATGCCTTAGACAAATCTGGATTGGAAACAACAAACAATTAACGAAGAAAAACGCAGTTAGAAAAAGTACTTTCAGATTTTGAAGAAGATAATGATTCAAATACAACAACAATTCAGCAAGCATCTGTCTGTGCACTACAAAAGCAGATGATGAAATGAGAGCATGAAAGAAAATCAGAAAAATGGTGGATGAGAATAGGTACGGAGTATGGGGAGAATATAAAGAAAGTTTGCAGCATCCTCTTTCTTAGCACAAAAAGAGTACAATAGGCCATTGATAAAGAGGAAGTGATTTACAGAAAACTTGGAGGAAAAGGTCAGAAGCACTTAGAATGAGCCCGAATAGGAATTAAACTCCTTTGTTAAGAATATCATAAAAGCGTTTCTAATGGGCTACCCAAAAGTACATTTTTTCTAAGTCTTCCTCATATGTGTGGTTCCATTGGGAGCCAATATCAAGAAAATCTTCCACCATTGTACTTGATTGGAGGGTGGGAAACAGGTAAACCAGATGGGGTCAACCATGGAAAACCGTTCTTTCACAGAATGATACTTGAGTAAACCGAAAGGAAACACGAGTAATTAACAACATGTGCAATTATAGATATTGTGAATCTTGGTGATAACAGAGACTGTTTGAAAAGAGATATTCGAAAGTAACTGTAAATAAAAGAAATTAAAAATGTTCCTCTAATTTTGGAGGAAGTTAGAACTTATTTGGGAAAGAATAGAGAAACTGAGCACTGATATAAAGCTTCAGCAGTTGCAGAAAATAACGATTTCTTAAAAAGCAATGATCACGAGAGAAATGGAGATGTAGTTAAAATGAGCAATTCCGTCGAAGCTTACCTCCTGTAGGCAGGTAGATTTGAGTTTGTGGGAAAATACTAGCATTATCTATAATAATGATAAATCCATAGCAAAAATTCTATAATTTTTAAATTTGTTTTGTGCGTTTGCTTTGTACGGTACATGAAATGAATAGGCTACTATTTGTAAACTTTATGCGTTACATAGTTCAAGCTATTGCAAACACCGAAAATGCACACTTTAACTAAAATAAGGTTTTTTCCTCAATCCCCTCCTCCATAACTATATTGTGCATTAATGATTAGCTCATTATTCTAGAAGAATCGCTTGTCCAAAGTTGAAGATGTGTGTATTAAAAGAAAAGTTGCCAATTACTTCACACATGTTAAAAAACAAACATATTTGTTTATACGATGAGTTCATTCAATGTCGTAATCGGAAATATAAGGCACATTCTGTGCAATAGTCCATATTGACTGTTGTCATCGTAAATGCACACTTTTTAACCAAAATAAGGTTTCTTTCTCAAACCCAATCCCCCATAACTATGTTGTGCATGCAACAATGAGTAACTCATCATTCTAGAAGAAGCGCCTGTCCAAAGCTGAAGATATGTGTATTATGAGAAAAGTTGCCAATTACTCATCACATGTTCAAAAACAAACCTATTTGCTTATACGATGAGCTCATTCAATGTCGTAATCGTAAATATAAGGCACATTTTCTGCAATGGTCCATGTAGACTGTTGTCATCGAGTGCTGGTTGCATTGATTTATGTTTTCTAATTTTCTGCAGTTCCTACATTTATTTATTCAATTTTCTCATTTCCTAACTATTGTGCGCATGTAGGCCGTTGGCTATTATCTGGGACCAACCATCTGTGTGTCGACTTGCGAACTAACTATGACCAACTCAAGAATTCATGACCAAATGAATGAAAGTAATAACTGAAAATACTTCAGGCAAGTTAAAAAATTCCCGGCGGAAATTTTATAAATCGTATCATTACTTATGTTGATGGAATGATGTTGTTAATAAAACCTCAACTGATATGGAGTTGTTTCTAGGTTGTCGCCTTATTTAATTCTTTCGCGTTTTTATGGTTGCTTACTTAGCCATACTGTTTAAAGACAGGCTCTTGGCGAATGAAAGATACGTTTGTACGCTACGCAGCTTTCTTAGCACTATGATTACGTGCCTTGAATTGTATACTAATGCATTACAACACAATTAAATTTGTATGACCTACCGTAAATTTGTGCGAACTACGACTTCGTCACCAGTTTTGCTTCCGTTCGATTAAAACCTTCAAAATCAGTCGAACAATGTTTTGCAACATTAATATATAACTTTTGATGAAATTTAAAAATGTTAACTATTTCAAAATATCTTTGCGGGAGTTGAGTTTTATAAAGAGATTTTTGTCCTCTTCAAAGCAAACGGGGAGAAGGAATTGATTGGAGGAATATTTTAAATGCTTAACTAAATTTTCATTCTTGTATCCAACAAGCTGATAAGGTTAAATCAAAGAAGGGAAAAGTAGGTAGTCGTACATTACTTTTGATAAATGTAAAGTAAGCTTATAAGAGAAATTAGTCCACAGATGAAAAATATATAATGATAAATAAATTTTGACTAGAATTTTCTCTCTCTTTAATGGCTGCTCTACTTAATAAAGAAAACTAATAATTTACGCAATCCATCATCAAGACGTCACAGGGATTTATTATTAAATCTTGATTCGCATCGATGACCAAAATTAAAATCATTTCTGGCGTCACTAATGAAATACATTGCGATCGTCAAGTACATCACTATGGAACATGCAATGGAAAATTTACCACCAATTTAAAAAATAAGATAAAGTACTTCAGGAATGGTGAATTGCATACGTTTTGACTGCATTTGACACAAAATCAGTATGGGTATAAAAGAATTACGTAATATTTCACCTGCGTGTCTTTAATGTGTAAGCATTTGGTTGAAAACGTTGATTTCGTTGCATCTCGTTCAATAGTCTTATACATTTTTGCCATAAAAAAACTTAGCACTGTTTCTTACCCAGCAATTTCGTCATCCAATATTTTGCATTAACAACCATATTGTTAAATCAGCCAAAATAATTTCGAAAAGAATTTGAAATAATTATACTATTTAAGTTTCATTTCGTGACAATTAACACTTTAGCAGCCGCGCGATGTCTGCCAAAATTTGCTCGTTTCCATTATCTCTGAGCAATGAAGTTAGTATTGATTTAGGCTATGCAATTATTCAGGCTACACACACTCAGCTTGCTAGACATACACTACATAGGCTACACACCCCACACTGGATATAATGATAAATTGTGTAAAGGAAAGTCGAGAATATTATTCTTAGTGTTAAGGTATTAATCTAAAACATTGTTGACTGAATTGTGTTTATAGACTTGGGACTATATAACATAGGCTGACACTGTTGTATTTATAGAAACCATTACAACTTTCACCCTAAATGTCTCCATAGGAACTCGGAAATATACTTCAGTAGTTTCTGCAGTTTTTTTGTATTCTGTAACTACCAATGTATCTATACTCATTAAAAGCTTGGAAGCAATTAAGCAACGTATAAATTTTTTGACATTGTTGCTATTTGACATGTGCGCATGCTGTTATTATAATTTCATATAAGACATTAGGAGTTCTAGTGCCCACAATAAACATTGATCAAAATATATATGTTGAAGTATCGTGATGTGTATGAAAGTTGACAGTGCTAGTGGTAAAATTTTGTCTAAAAATTTTATCATCTTGATATTTTTGCGACCTCGAATTGCCATGCAATATTGCTTTGAAGCAATAAAGTTAGAGTGTGTGCGATAATAACGTATTTTTACGTGCGACTCAATGAATTCTTTGCTTTTTGTTTGTTTGAATTGAGTAATAGCATTAGATACTGGAGTACAACTCCGCCATATCAACTTTTTTCCAACTCTTTAAGCGTCTTAAAATAACTTCCTTGACTGAAACTCTTTTCAAGTTTTTGTTCCGAGCTGTCGTCGTTTTTTCGTTCACTTTTTTTTCTTACTTTAACGCTGTAGGCACGAACGTTATGGTTGGTATCAGGCTTTTTTGTTGCTTCTGAAAGGCCAGGCTCATTCCTATCCTTAAACACTCGGTTTTGACTGGGGTTTTCTTCTAAATTTTTTGTTAAATGAACTATGCACTCTTTTGTAACCAAAGCCACTCCTCCGTTACCATGATAAACAATACGAAATGAGCCATTAAACAATCCCAAATCATATCCTGCTTTCATCAATACGAGCGACGACTGTAGTTTTTTGGTTTCAGTTGAAAAAGTCTCGATCAATAACTTTGAAGCATCCTTGTTAAAGAAATAACCTGTGATACACTTGGAGAGTGGTGTGTAAATAATTGATCATATTCTTTGATCTCATCAAGGGACGGTTTGAATTTCATGCAATCTGATAAATTTGCTTCCATGTTGTAGAAAAGGATTCTGTAATATTCACGGGGATGTCGATAGGTTATCATGGCTATTTGCCTATCAGCAGAAAAACACAAAGATTTCAACTCGTCAACAAGTGGATTATTAATGCCTATAATCCTACAAGGTTCGAGAAAGAGAAAACCAGTTTTGTAGCATACACATAGGTTGATGTTAGGTTGGTCACCTTCAACAAATGCAATAGCAACTACTTCATCATTTGTGACGGCCATAAACAAGTTTCGTGCCTCTATATTGTCTAGAAACTTCAAAGTAGATTGTTGGATAGCGCCATCTTCTGAAAAAACTGTCAATTGATAGTTCCAAGTGTTCTTATTTCCATAACCAGAAAGAACATATACCACGCCATTGTTATCAACTGTCATACATCTAACTTGCCAATCATCAATCTCACAACTTCCTTTACACCACGGTTGAAGCTTTCCTGTTTCGCTGTCGACTTTTTGGAGATTTTTTCCAGAAAAAATCAGCACTTCTCCTTCGTTGGTTATTGTGATTTCTTTGTCGACAAATAGGTGAGCTTCATCTTTACAAAAATGAGATTCGTACCAAGGTGTGGAAGAACTCATGATTCCTTCAATATCTTTAAAATACAAAGGATGAAACTTGTGCACACCTGATTCAATTAATGGCCAGTCAAGAACAGCTCGTTTTATAAATGTGTTTTTTGAAATGAAATTGGCTAGTAATAAATTCACCATCAGTACATTTTCAATGTTTTTGTCCCTCTGGATTTTGTTAAAGGTTAATTGTGGAAAAGAAAAAAGCTTTCCTATCTCGTGCAACGAATTCAAGTTTTTCAAGTATACCATAGCATCCTTTTCTGCTGCCTCACTATCATTAAAATGTCGAAGAATAGAACTTGCGATGCAAATCATGCACGCAGTTATTTTTTCTTCAATTTTTAATGATTTGTTGTGAAATGCCTTGTTTGCTTCTCTGTCCGCCTCGATAAACGACTCTTTAGCCGACTGTAGTGTCTTTGATGGTAGCGACTCATATTCTTTGTTTTCAATTGACTTTGGGAGATTTAGTTTTTCTACACCTCTCCTGAAATGACTGATGCTGCTTTGGAGATCTTTTCTACACATTGCTTTTAATATGGTTAATTCGCTGTCGATTACACCTAGTAATTCCAGGAGTGGTTTCCCACCTACTGAAAAACCCGACAATAGTTCCCAACTTAATGCTATTGGATCCATTGCAAGCTCGAAGTCTTCAAATAGGCCAATCCTGAGTTGTGCTCTGTTTTGATTCAGCAATCTAAAATAGGTTTTGCACAATAAGGTATTACAATGGAAAATTTCATTGTTATCAAGGGGCATTCCCCAGTAGTGAAGCTTCCTTAAATTTTTCCCCGTGCTATTTAGTGACTTTTCCAGCAAAATTATCAAGTTCTTTAGATAGTGAGAGTGAGAAATTATGCTGGCTTTGCCGCAAGCATCCTATCATTGCTTCAGCACACAATTTATATTTTTGTTTAAAGTTTTACTGTAGCGTCGAAGTGATGTGAATAACTTATTTGTGATATTTTATGGATTTGTTTGAACTTTATTGCTAGTAGCTCCATACTAAAATTAGTACTAAGCGTTATCAGATAACATTTGTAAACAGATTGACTTTAAAATATAATTTCGTATAATCTAACTATTACACTGTCAGATGTGTATTTTATCCGTCGTCAATATTGATTTCTACAGCCTAGTTTGCCGAAACGTCAGGCAACATGAACAACAGTCCCCCTTTGAACTGCACTCATTTGGACAATCTACATCTAAAAACATGTAGGAAATGTTATTTGTAAAACATTTGATGCGTATATGCAATTAGCGGAATAGTAAACCAATAGGAACAATACCAAGTTTGGGCCAGATTATATAGAGACAAGCAAGCCCGATGATTTCAAGGGATTGAAAGTAAGCGCCAAACGTCATTCCTGTTGTAATTCTTAAATTGGGGCAAATTGGTTGTTTTTATTTTAAATATTTTTCGTGTAGTTTTTAAATCGGAATATTGTGAAGTTGCTCGAGAAGATTTATCTAATGATCAGTATTGAATCGTTTCCATTTGACAAAATCATTTAACGCTTCGCTGAATCCCGGCTACCGGACTCGTGTAATCAACGTTTTAAGAGAAAAAAATAAGAAGTTTGGAAAAAAGGAGGGATGAGAATATCCGAATCAATTGAATAAAGAAGAAGAGGGAAAACAAGAGTGGAGGTAGAGATGTTTAATGGTAGACCAATAGCACCACAGCAAATAGAGAAAGGGCCTAGCATTGAAAATATATTGATTTCGGAGCATGCTTTTGGTAGATGTCAATAAGATGATAAAATGTGTGAAACATGTTATTGTGAAGAGAGAACTTGTTAGAATATATTTGCACGATATAAATTTAAGGAAGTTTGCAATAAGATCAAGTACAGTAAATATTAAGGAAGTTTAAGATCGAAGTACGGGTAGCATGTTAATTGACAACGTCAAACAATAAATGGATTAAAGTGGCACAGAGAAACAAGTATTTGAAACAAACGAGTATTGGATAAGAGGTTGACTTCAATTTATGAAATAAAAAAATTGGAAGAAAGATTAGATTGGAAGTTTAGTTTGGAAACAAACTTAAACCAACAAAGATGAAAAACCCAAATACTTGTAGAATATAAGAAAGTAGTGAAAATGACTGTCAAGCAGACGGTAAATTAAGAGCATAGAAAAAAATCGGAAGAGTTGTGGATCAGAATAAGCGCCAACTGCAGGGAGAATGTAAAAGAATTATTTGCAACCCTTGCTGGCTGGATGCAAGATGACATGAGCAAGTTATGTAAGAAAACGTGACCACGCGCTCCACAGTGCATTGAATGACTCAGTCTTTAGTTATGGAATGGAAAGAAAGAAGGAATTGGTACAAGGGTAAATTAGAAGAAAAGCTCAAAGGTAGTTTGTCTTGGGAAAAATGTAAAAGAAGTGTAAAGGAAGTGTTGAAAAGATGAAATGGAAGCGTAATGTACGTAATGGGAAATGTGTGGTTAGCATGGAAGTGATAGAGCAAGGAGCTGGTTGGAACAGAAAATAATTGCAATATTATTGGTACAGGACCAAAATGTTATGGAACTACTTAATCTAATGCAATAACATTTTTGAGCTCAGAGAGCCTGATATTGTTTTCACCGACAAACAACAGCAAACATGTGTAATTAAAGATAACCCGTGTCTTTGTGATAGCAGAACTATCGATATGAGTCCTTAAAAAGAGATATTCGAAAGAAATGGTAAATAAAGGAAGTTAAAACTGTTTTTGTTTAAGGCCTGTTGGTACTTATTTTGTGTTAATAATAGAAAAATTAAGTATTGGTTTAAAGATTATGCAGTAATAGAGAAAATAACGCTTTTGGGAACTGCAAGGTTCATGAGAAAAGGATTTGAAATACACATATCAAGATTATTGTCAAATAAATACTCGGGTTGCAAGCAGCTGCTATTGAGTTAAGCTATTAAAACGGCGAGAAATGCACTTTAGTTATACAAGGCTTCTTTATCCACCCCCTCTCAAATAATTATTGTCATGCAATGATGATGTTCTCGCCATTCTAGCAGAATAGCTTGTCATAGTCCTAATAAGTCATTTGTTATCTAAAGATGTGAGTTTTATAAAAAACGTTGACAATTACACAATCACATTATTAGGGACAAGCTGTTTGTTTATGCGAAAACGTTCATTCAGTTGAGTAACGCAGAAAGATTGGACCTTAACGAAACATTTAATGTGGCGAGTCATATTGATTTTAGTCATAGAATGCTGACTGCATTAGTTCGTATTGTGCAATTTTTCACATCTGTTTAATAAACTTTCCTGTTTCTCAACTTTTAGGAAAGGTAAAGCGTGGGTCATTATGGGCTTCAAGAATTAAGGAATGATGTTGCGCATAAAACCTCAAATGATATGGAGTTCAAGATGGTAGTTACATCGCCTCAAATAATTTTTCTACTTTTTTCACGGTTGCCCAACGAACCACTCTTTTGAATTTTTTTCTTGAGATTGGCGCATGCAGGGGGATAAAGGATACAGAGACAGGCACTTTGCTATTGAATCTAACCTTTCAACGCTGGAAATTTTTCTGGCACTATGATTATGTGCTCTGAAATGTTTACTAATGCATTACAACACAAATCAAACAGCACTTAGTCTATGTAACGTACCTTTTCTTTTGCAATCAATCACTTCGTCACCAATTTCGTCTTTAACAGATTAAAACCTCTAACTGCAATGTGGACATATGCTTAAAAATGTTAACAATTTCAAAATATCCTTGCGGGTGTTATATGTTATAAAAAACTTTTCTTCTGATAGCTACTTTTAAAATGCCCCGCAAGGATACCTTGCGTGGGAGAGAGGACTGCTACAGCAAATATACTCACACGCAGCCAGGATAAAATGTACTGTTAAAATGTACTGTTTGGAAAATCTTTGTCGACTACCAACGTTTGGTTTTTCATACTGGAAAAAAAGCTAAATTTTCTTCATTGAATAGACGAAAGTGATTACTTACGTAATTCATCTTTAAGACGTCATATGGATTTAATAATTACCACCTGATTCGCATTGATGACAGGAGTATCATGGTATGACTGACGACGGTGCGACTGATGAAATACATGGGAAATAAATGCAAATGAACGCAAAGAACAACGACTGATATAACAAAAATTTTTTAAAGAGACAAAGTTTATCAACTCTGGTGAATTTTAAACGTTTTGATTGACTTTCACGCAAAATCATTATGGGCACGAGCGGAATTCGCCCGAATTTCACTTGAGCTTCCTTTCATTTGGAACAGTGCGTTGACAATGTTGATTTCGTTGCATCTTATTCAAATGCCTTCCTAATTTTTCCAAGTAAAGACGGTTGGCTTTATATTCTACCCAGAAAAGCGATTCGAGTTATCTAAATACGTTCGAAATAAATTGATTCGTAAATTTCATACTGTGATAATCGCTTAATTAGCAGCCACTTTATGCAAAAATTTGCTTGTTTACAACATTGCTAAGCAATGTAGAATTAAGCTAGTACTTTTTAACTGTCATTTTTGTTTTGTAGTAACTGAGTTGCATTTCAAGATTTTTAACAATCTCAAAATTCACCGGATATATTGTCCATGTAAAAAACTGTACCAAAACTGTGCCTGTTTTGTTTATAGCTAAATAGTTGAAATTCCGTCAATAAAAAAGTGAGTGAGAGATGCATATTAAACACACTATACAGGCTGTACACACCATACAGGGTATACACACTCTACAGTCCGTACAGTCTCTACTGGCTATATTAACACGAATGAGTTAAGGTTGAGATTTTTAATTCATTATACATATTCTAGAATATTCTTAACTGAATAGTGTTCGTAGAGTAGGGACTTTGAATGTCGTGAATATTTTTTTTAATTTTTTTTAAAAAAAATTAAAAAATTTAGTTATATTGTTGAGAAGGTTTATTTTGTTTTGTCCCATTCATTATTTTTCCTAATTTCACTGAATAAAGTAAAAATGGTTTGCAGTGTATCCACCCAAATGAATGGCCTACAATTTGAAATTAAAATGTTTTGCATTAAGTCGCTATCATTTTGGGAATCAGCGAAATAACTTTGACCGCGAACGTCGGCCAAAATGTGGTCGTCTACAACATCTTCTAGCATTTCTCTGTCAAAAGAAAACCTTTTTAATTTTGGATTCTTTTTTGTGATGACTGATTTATTCTCTGCAAGATGCTAACCGTCCTACAATATTCACTTGCGTATTTACAATAAAATCGTGTTCGAATAGAAAATTGTGCAATCATGAAAAAACTGTCGTATTATTTTGTTGGTGAAAGTTTGTCAAATTTCGAGAGAAATATGAATTCTCTGAACAATCATATATTTCCCTTAACAATATTTGTGTGAAACTTACTGTACGGTACTATGCAATGGTTTGTTGTAAGAAATTTATCATAATGTCATTATCAGTTTAAATTAAATGATCGATTTTAATCCTACTGCAAAAGTAGTCAAATTCTTATATCGTCTTTCAATTTATTTGGTTCTATCGTTCTTGTTTTATTTAGTTAAATTCTACTCTAATCTATTATTTCGTTTCTTTAATGCTACGCTGTACAAAATTAACGGATGTCCAGATAAGGGAAGCGAAGAGAAAATAACCTCGAGCTTACTGGACAAAGTGTCGTTTTCTTCTTCACATTGTTGACATTACTTTGTGAAAAATTAAGAAATTTTAACCCTTATTACCAAATCAACAAGATGAGGCCAATCAACAAATAAAGCACACCGCGTTTGTTTAATGGAGAAAAAGCATTATACTGAAGAACTTTAAAAAAGAACATTTAACATTACATAACCCATGAAATAACCTGCAAAATACGTGTGCTAGAGGGTAATATTATTACTTACCCAGCCAGCACACGACGTTTTCTTAACGTTGGCTGAAGGTTGTACTTACGCTACGTTATGACATAACGTTAAACAACGTTCTTACCACGTTGTTTTCCTTATTCAAATTTTAACCACGTTTGTGTCAACGTTGGTTGAACATTGACATTAACATTAGGTAAGGAAATTATGTTGTAAAGTTGAAACGGAAGTTATGTCTAAACGTTAAGATGAACTTTAGTATAAGGTGATTTTTTGGTCGCGTGCCCGTCATTATTGTCTGACGTTGTTTCAACGTCGGTTGAACGTTAAGATGAAACTTAGTTTAAGGTGATTTTTTGGTCGCATGCCCGTCATTATTGTCTGACGTTGTTTCAACGTCGGTTAAACGTTTAGATGAACCTTAGTTTAAGGTGATTTTTGGGTCGCGTGCCCGTCGTTATTGTCTGACGTTGTTTCAACGTCGGTTAAACGTTAAGATGAACCTTGGTTTAAGGTGATTTTTGGTCGCGTGCCCGTCATTATTGTCTGACGTTGTTTCAACGTTGGTTAAACGTTAAGATGAACCTTAGTTTAAGGTGATTTTTTGGTCGCGTGCCCGTCGTTATTGTCTGACGTTGTTTCAACGTCGGTTAAACGTTAAGATGAACCTTGGTTTAAGGTGATTTTTGGTCGCGTGCCCGTCGTTATTGTCTGACGTTGTTTCAACGTTGGTTAAACGTTAAGATGAACCTTAGTTTAAGGTGATTTTTTGGTCGCGTGCCCGTCATTATTGTCTGACGTTGTTTCAACGTCGGTTGAACGTTAAGATGAAACTTAGTTTAAGGTGATTTTTTGGTCTCGTGCCCGTCATTATTGTCTGACGTTGTTTCAACGTTGGTTAAACGTTAAGATGAACCTTAGTTTAAGGTGATTTTTTTATCGCGTGCCCGTCATTATTGTCTGACGTTGTTTCAACGTCGGTTGAACGTTAAGATGAAACTTAGTTTAAGGTGAATTTTTGGTCGCGTGCCCGTCATTATTGTCTGACGTTGTTTCAACGTCTGTTGAACGTTAAGATGAAACTTAGTTTAAGGTGATTTTTTGGTCGCATGCCCGTCATTATTGTCTGACGTTGTTTCAACGTCGGTTAAACGTTTAGATGAACCTTAGTTTAAGGTGATTTTTGGGTCGCGTGCCCGTCGTTATTGTCTGACGTTGTTTCAACGTCGGTTAAACGTTAAGATGAACCTTGGTTTAAGGTGATTTTTTGGTCGCGTGCCCGTCATTATTGTCTGACGTTGTTTCAACGTTGGTTAAACGTTAAGATGAACCTTAGTTTAAGGTGATTTTTTGGTCGCGTGCCCGTCGTTATTGTCTGACGTTGTTTCAACGTCGGTTAAACGTTAAGATGAACCTTGGTTTAAGGTGATTTTTTGGTCGCGTGCCCGTCGTTATTGTCTGACGTTGTTTCAACGTTGGTTAAACGTTAAGATGAACCTTAGTTTAAGGTGATTTTTTGGTCGCGTGCCCGTCATTATTGTCTGACGTTGTTTCAACGTCGGTTGAACGTTAAGATGAAACTTAGTTTAAGGTGATTTTTTGGTCTCGTGCCCGTCATTATTGTCTGACGTTGTTTCAACGTTGGTTAAACGTTAAGATGAAACTTAGTTTAAGGTGATTTTTTGGTCTCGTGCCCGTCATTATTGTCTGACGTTGTTTCAACGTTGGTTAAACGTTAAGATGAACCTTAGTTTAAGGTGATTTTTTTATCGCGTGCCCGTCATTATTGTCTGACGTTGTTTCAACGTCGGTTGAACGTTAAGATGAACCTTGGTTTAAGGTGATTTTTTGGTCGCGTGCACGTCATTATTGTCTGACGTTGTTTCAACGTCGGTTGAACGTTAAGATGAAACTTAGTTTAAGGTGATTTTTGGTCTCGTGCCCGTCATTATTGTCTGACGTTGTTTCAACGTTGGTTAAACGTTAAGATGAACCTTAGTTTAAGGTGATTTTTTTATCGCGTGCCCGTCATTATTGTCTGACGTTGTTTCAACGTCGGTTGAACGTTAAGATGAAACTTAGTTTAAGGTGATTTTTTGTCGCGTGCCCGTCATTATTGTCTGACGTTGTTTCAACGTCGGTTGAACGTTAAGATGAAACTTAGTTTAAGGTGATTTTTGTCGCGTGCCCGTCATTATTGTCTGACGTTGTTTCAACGTCGGTTGAACGTTAAGATGAAACTTAGTTTAAGGTGATTTTTTTGTCGCGTGCCCGTCATTATTGTCTGACGTTGTTTCAACGTCGGTTGAACGTTAAGATGAAACTTAGTTTAAGGTGATTTTTTGGTCGCCAGCGTTGTTAATGTCTAACGTTGTATGAACGTTGTCTAAACGTAAAGATGAACGTTTGATTAAGGCGATTTTTGGTCGCAGCTTCGTTAATGTCTAACGTACGGTGGCCCGTATGTGCCACTGCTTCTGCGTAGAACTATGTAGCTCTTCCATACAAATCAAGTTTCTCCGTACAACCCCGAGTGTTCTCCGTGCGAATATGTTGCTCCATGGAAAACGAACTGCTCCACACAAATGTTTACCTTCTGCTTGTTGAAATGCTACTTTTCCACACTTAAAGAAAGGTTGCTAAGAGCAAATAATCCTTTCTCCACGCTGAAATTATCTTTCTCTATACAAATAAGCATACCGAACACTCTCTTACCCCCTGGCAAAAATAACACACGTGCACACACTCAACGTCGGGGGATAACTGATCCTAATTACTGATTTTTAATTTGTTAACTGATTATAGTTTGGCGATAACGGTTAGTCGGTTACCTGTTAAGAAATAAAAGATGTATAAATGACCTGCTAAAATGATCAATTGCGAAATTTGCCTTAACATATGTCGAGAGGATTATAGTTTTGCGACGAATGTGCACATCAGCTTGTGCAGCTTGTAGGTTTGTACAAATCGTAATGATTTTTAATCATTTGGATCTTACTATTTAATTTTTATGTTTTAACTAAATGATAGATGTCTTTATTAGTCTTATATATAAAACAAATTTCACATTATTGTATTGTCTATGTACAATTTATGGTTACTATCTCTTTATTTTGTTGAAAGTTTTGAATTGCATAAAATTTAAATAGTATGTATTTCTTGATTTTGCAGCTGCAAACCAACCTGCTGTAGATCAGATAAGAGAAGCCATTACTTTTACTTCAACTGTGGCTATACCTATGATGTTATACTTGACTTCTTGACAAAACATCATGGAGTATCTATGAGTCTTAGAACACTCAATAGGCGACTAAGAGAGTATAATCTGAAGCGAAAGAATGTATCTGTTGATGAAGCATATATAAGAGAACTGGTTAAAATCGAGATGGCAAATGCAGGAGAACAGTCAGGATACAGGACCATTTGGCATGCTTTGAGGATAATATATAATGTACATGCACTCCAAGAAATGGTTTGCAGAATTTTGTGTGAACTTAACCCTGCAGCAAGTGAAGCAAGAAAAGCAAAAAAGATGAAAAGAAGAATATATTTGTCACCAGGTCAAATCACTGCTGGCATGCAGATGGTAAGAGAAAAATGGTGTTAAGGAATATATAATAGTAGAAATACAAATAGAAAATGACTGCTAAATGACTATTCTAAGAGATTTATATTAACCAATTGACATTTCCACAGTTTTGTTTACTGGCAATAAAAATTCACCTATATGTGTACAGAATCACCCCCCCTCCACTAAATAAAATCAGTGCAATGTCTGGTGTGCATTCAAAAAATATTTATCAGAAATGGAGATGTAGTTAAAATGAGCAATGCCGTCGAAGCTTACCTCCTGTAGGCAGGTAGAGTTGGGGTTGGGGGAAAATACTAGCATTATCTATAATAATGACAAATCCCAGAGAAATAATCATAGCAAAACTCCTATAATTTTCAAATTTCTTTTGTGCGCTTGCTTTGTACGGTACATGAATTGAATAGGCTACTATATGTAAACTTTATGCGTTACATAGTTCAAGCTATTGCAAACACCGTAAATGCACACTTTTTAACTTAAATAAGTTTTTTTCCTTAAACCCCCTCCTCCATAACCATATTGTGCATTAATAATTAGCTCATCATTCTAGAAGAATCGCTTGTCCAAAGCTGAAGATGTGTGTAATAAAACAAAAGTTGCCAATTACTTATCACATGTTCAAAAACAAACATATTTGTTTATACGATGAGCTCATTCAATGTCGTAATCGGCAATAAAAGGCACATTTTGTGCGATAGTCCATATTGACTGTTGTCATCGTAAATGCAGATTTTTTAATCTAAATAAGGTTTCTTTCTCAAACCGAATCCCCCCTAACTATGTTGTGCATGCAACAATCATTAACTCATCATTCTAGAAGAAGCGCTTGTCCAAAGCTGAAGATATGTGTAATATGAGAAAAGTTGCCAATTACTCATCACATGTTCAAAAACAAACCTATTTGTTTATACGATAAGCTCATTCAATGTCTTAATCGGAAATATAAGGCACATTTTGTACAATGGTCCATGTTGACTGTTGTCATCGAGGGCTGGATGCATGGATTTATGTTTTCTAATTTTCTGCAGTTCCTACATTTATTTATTTAATTTTCTCGTTTCATTACTATTGTGCGCATGTAGACCGTTGGCTATTATCTGGGACCAACCATCTGTGTGTCGACTTGCGAACTAACTATGCCTAATGAGTGCTGCCCCACTGAAATGACCAACTCAAGAATACATGACCAAATGAATGAAAGTAATAACTGAAAATACTTCAGTCAAGTTAAAAGATTCCCGGCGGAAATTTATAAATCGTATCATTACTTATGGTGATGGAATGATGTTGTTAATAAAACCTCAAATGATGTGGAGTTGTTTCTAGGTTGTCGCCTTATTTAATTCTTTCGCGTTTTTTATGGTTAATTAATTAGCCATACTGTTTAAAGACAGGCTCTTGGCGAATGAAAGATACGTTTGTACGCTACGCAACTTTCTTAGCACTATGATACGTGGCCTGAATAGTATACTAATGCATTACAACACAATTAAAGTTGTATGACTTACCGTAAATTTGTGCGAACTACGACTTCGTCACCAGTTTTGCTTCCGTTCGATTAAAACATTCAAAATCAGTCGAACAATGTTTTGCAACATTGATATATAACTTTTGATGAAATTTAAAAATGTTAACTATTTCAAAATATCTTTGCGGGAATTGAGTTTTATAAAGAGATTTTTGTCCTCTTCAAAGCAAAGGGGAAGAAGGAATTGATTGGAGGAATATTTTAAATGCTTAACTAATTTTTCATTCACGTGTCCAACAAGCTGATAAAGTTAAATCAAAGAAGGGAAAAGTACGTAGTCGTACATTACTTTTGATAAATGTAAAGTAAGCTCATAAGAGAAATTAGTCCACAGATGAAAAAAATATAATGATAAATAAATTTTGACTAGAATTTTCTCTCTCTTTATTGGCTGCTCTACTTAATAAAGAAAACTAATAATTTACGCAATCCATCATCAAGACGTCACAGGGATTTATTATTAAATCTTGATTCGCGTCGATGACCACAATTAAAATAATTTCTGGCGTTTCTGATGAAACACATCGCCATCGTCAAGTACATCACTATGGAGCATGCAATGGAAAATTTACCACCAATTTAAAAATGAGATAAAGTACTTCAGGAATGGTAAATTGCATACTTATTGACTGCATTTGACACAAAATCAGTATGGGTATAAAAGAATTACGTAATATTTCACCTGCGTGTCTTTTAATGTGTCAGCATTTGGTTGAAAACGTTGATTTCGTTGCATCTCGTTCAATAGTCTTATACATTTTTGCCATAAAAAAACTTAGCACTGTTTCTTACCCAGTAATTACGTCATCCAATATTTTCCATTAATAACCATAATGTTAAATCAGCCAAAATAATTTAAAAAAAAAATTTGAAATAATTATACTATTTATGTTTCATTTCGTGATAATTAACACTTTAGCAGCCGCGCGATGTCTGCCAAAATTTGCTCGTTTCCATTATCTCTGAGCAATGAAGTTAGTATCTATTTAGACTATGCAATTATTCAGGCTATACATACTCAGCTTGCTAGACATACATACTCGGCTACACACCCCACACTGGGTATAATGATAAATTGTGTAAAGGAAAGTCGAGAATATCATTTTCAGTGCTAAGGTATTACGAATCTAAAACATTGTTGACTGAATTGTGTTTATAGACTTGGGACTATATAACATAGGCCGACACCATTGTATTTGTAGAAACTATTACAACTTTCACACTAAATGTCTCCATAGGAACTAGGAAATATACTTCAGTAGTTTCTGTAGTTTTTTTGTATTCTGTAACTACCAATGTATCTATACTCATTAAAAGCTTGGAAGCAATTAAGCAACGTATAAATTTATTAACATTGTTGCTATTTGACATGTGTGCATGCTGTTATTATAAGTTCATATAAGACATTATAAGTTCTAGTGCCCACAATAAACATTGATCATAATATATATGTTGATCTTACGTGACATGTATGAAAGTTGACAGTGCTAGTGGTAGGCAAATGTGTATTCCGAGCTGTCGTTTTTTGTGCACTTTTTTTTCTTATTTTAACGCTGTAGACCATGGCCTACTCAAATTTACATACAAAATTGGGTGAGCCACGTATAGAAACGTGCCATATGGTTGTATCAGGCTTTTTTGTTGCTGATAAAAAGCCAAGCTCATTTCTATCCATCAACACTCGGTTTCGACTGGGATTTTCTCTTAATTTTTTTGTTAAATGAACTATGCGTTTTTTTGTAACCAAAGCAACTCCTCCGTTATCATGATAAACAACACGAAATGAAACATTAAGCAATCCCAATTCATATCCTGCTTCCATCAATACGAGCGACGACTGTAGTTTTTTGGTTTCAGTTGAAAAAGTCTCGATCAATAACTTTGAAGCATCCTTGTTAAAGAAATAACCTGTGATACACTTGGAGAGTGGTGTGTAAATAACTTGATCATATTCTTTGATCTCATCAAGGGATGGTTTGAATTTCACGTAATGTGATAAATTTGCTTCCATGTTGTAGAAGAGGATTCTGTAAAATTCACGGGAATGTCGATAGGTTATCATGGCTATTTGCCTATCAGCAGAAAAACACAAAGATTTCAACTTGTCAACAAGTGGATTATGAATGCCTTTAATCTTACTATGTTTGAAAAGGAGACAACCAGTTTTGTAGCATACACATAGGTTAATGTTAGGTTGGTCTCCCTCAACAAATGCAATAGCAACTACTTCATCATTTGTGACGGCCATAAACAAGTTTCGTGCCTCTATATTGTCTAGAAACTTCAAAGTAGATTGTTGGATAGCGCCATCTTCTGAAAAAACTGTCAATTGATAGTTCCAAGTGTTGTTATTTCCATAACCAGAAAGAACATATACCACGCCATTGTTATCAACTGTCATACATCTAACCTGCCAATCATCAATCTCACAACTTTCTTTACACCACGGTTGAAGCTTTCCTGTTTCGCCGTCGACTTTTTGGAGATTTTTTCCAGAAAAAATCAGCATTTCTCCTTTGTTGGTTATTGTGATTTCTTTGTCGACAAATAGGTGAGCTTCATCTTTACAAAAATGAGATTCGTGCCAAGGTGTGGAAGAACTCGTGATTCCTTCAATATTTTTAAAATACAAAGGGTGAAACTTGTGCACACCTGATTCAATCAATGGCCAGTCAAGAACAGCTCGTTTTTGAAATGTGTTGTTTGAAATGAACTCGGCTACTAATAAATTGGTTATCACTATGCTGTCAACGTTTCTATCCCTCCGGTTTTTACTAAGTGTGAATTGTGAAAATGAAAAAAGCTTTTCGACCTCGGGCAACGAATTCAACTTTTTCAAGTATACCATCGAATCCTTTTCTGCTGCTTCGCTATCATTAAAATTTCGAAGAATACAACTTGCGATGCAAATCTTGCATGCAGTTATTCTATCTTCAATTTTTAATGATGCATTATGAAATGCTAAGCCAGCTTCTTTGTCTGCCTCTGTAAAAGACTCTTTAGCCAACTGTTTTTGCTCTTTTTTCAACTCGAATTCTTCGTTTTCAGTTGACTCGGCAAGTTTCAGTCTTTCAATACCTTTACTGAAATGACTAATACTACAAACGAGATCTTGTCTGCATATTGCCTTGAATATTGTTAATTCGCCTTCAACAACAACTAGGAGTTCCAGTAGTGTTTTCCCACCTTTTTGTAAACCTCCTACCACGCTCAAACTTATTGTTATTGGATCCATCGCAAGTTTCAGCAATCTAAAATTGGTTTCGTACAATACAGGTGTTACATTATCAAAGCAAGTTTGTATTTGGCTCGTGCTATGCTGACTTTTCAGCAAAATAATCATTTATGGGCTGTTTACATGATCCCGGCTAACGGAATTTCAGTGAGGCGTGAAATGGTTTCGAGGTATTGAAAGGAGCCAAAACTTCAAGCGCAAAAATTACAACTGTTTATTAAGCGTTACAAGTTATTCCTGTTGTAATTCTTAAATTAAGACAAATTAATTATTTTCATTTTTAAATGTTTTTTGTAGTTGTCAAACCAGAATATTGTGAAATTGCCAGAGAAGATTTATCTGATGATGACTATTGAATCGTTTCCATTTGCCAAAATCATTTAACGCTTGACTGAATCCCGGCTATCCGGGCTCATTTAATAAGCCCCTAAATTTGTTTAGAAAATGATATTTCATGCATTATTTTTCAGCGACTGAGCTCAAATATAATTGCATGACTGAAGTACAATATCGTGCTTGCTATTCGTCGAGCGTTCTGTCGTTAATTAAAGTGCACATAAAGCTTATGGGATTTTTCGTATACTGAATCAACGTGGTGTAAAACGTTATATTCCAAATTTTTTTCTTCGTTGGACAAATAGTTCTCGTGCTACACTCAATTAAAATCATAAAAAACTGATTATTTGAGTCGCTCGGTTTCCCGGCTATAGACTGGAACTGCGCGGTTATTTGAGGAAAGCGTGACGTCATGTAAGTAACATTTCAGCAAGCATGCATTAAAAATATAGTGAAATATCTACTTTGACATGCCTAATCGCTGTATAGTTGCTTGCTGTTCTGGCGCTCCTTGCCTGGAAAAGGGCATAGGACTTCACCGCATTCCTTTTTATGCATAAGAAGATCCTTTAAAAAAGAAAAGGGAAAAAAAGTGGCTAGATTTTGTCGCTTTAAAACGAGTGAAATGCCCCATATCAAAGATGTGGAGCATTTGCTCGCTGCACTTCAAACCCTGAGAATTTTACCAGACAGCATAATAGTTTGCAAGGGCAAACAAGTAGACTGGTGTCTGACGAAGTTGATGCGTTTGCTTTTCCTTCTGTTTATCTCTCAGAAAGACTGATGATAGAAAGTGCGCCTTCTGAAAGGAATTGTAGACGGTAAAGATTTTTGTTTTGAATCCTGTATATTTTCCGCGTGAGACTGATAACTTCGATGAATGAAGCTTGTTTTAAATTCGTCAAAGATTTTGTAATGAAAATTGAATTTTTCCAGTTGAGACCATAGCATATGTTGTTGTAGGTTGTTAGAGATATTTTGTCTAGCACAGAAGCAGGCTCTCGCTCTTCTAGTCAAGACACTTTTGAAGCTGAAAGTGCAACCTTTTTGGAAGACAGTGATACTGATGTTGAATTTTTTGATGTCTTGCAAGCTTAAACAATTGCAGTACAAGCAGAAGTACAGGTATTAAATTTATTCCAATAGTTTATTTACACTAGTAGATTGTAAGATCTAAAGATTGTATTTTTCCTTTGTTTCAGAATGGGTTTTGCCAAACTGAAGAAGACCATTGCAGGCAATGTGTTCAATACAAAGAAAACATGAGGCAATTCAAGAGAATGATAGAAAGCAAGCATGCTATTATCCAACAACTTACTGAAGGTAAATTGTTTCATTTCCATTCAATTTTGTTTCTTTAAGAGCATATATTCTTGTGTTGTCTCTTTGTCATTTAAATAGACACATGGCTGCAATTAAATTACTAAAATATGAGTATTGTAACACCTGTGTATATCATGATTTCATTGAAAAAAAGAAATTACGTAAACTGGTTGGAACAGTAATAAAATATGTAAAGGTGGATAATCAGAATGAGAAAAAAAAGCAGGATGGTAGTGATAGTGATGACATGGATATAGATATTGACATTGGTAGTGAGATGGAAAATGAAGGTAAAGTTTAATTTCAATGCTAAAAGCTAAAATTATACCCCACAAATCTTATTAACATATAAATATGGTCCCTAGGTTCTGACAACTATGACATTGAAACAGATTCTTCCCAAACTAAAGAGCTAGAATCTGAAGATGAAACAAACCAGTCAAAAAGTATGATTCTGCTGTACTTATGCATTATTTAGTCTTCCAGTGCTATCAAACATTTTATTTGTTTCTCTCGATGGACAAAACATAAAATATACAGGTATTGTTCTAACAATCAGGGTAAACAAAGAAGGAAGCAACCAAAGTTTATTGTCACCTTGCCACAGCTGTTGCCCTTGTTTAAAGTATGCCAATCATGTGGAACTGATAACCAATAGTTGAAGTATCAAAAGTTGGTACTATGGCTTATATAAGCATGTCATGTGGCAACCCTAGTTGTAAAAATAGAGAGCACGACTGGAAGTGACAATCATTCCTGCCAGGTTCCCGTATTCCAATGGGAAACTTTCTCCTCTCATTTTCCATTTTATTGTCTTCTACCCTCAAGGTATTTGGAGTATTCACATACATGGGTCTTCAAGGCATATCTTTGACCACATTCTTCAAACATTAAAGAGTAAGTGGGTTGTTTTGATTTTCCTGATTCCCAAGGTTTGAAGTTGTGTTTTTTATATTTATTTGATATTTTTTTATCATGAATTGCTTTTCCCAATGGTCAGGATCCATTGTAGGAAATACAAGCTGGCCATGTTGGAAGCAATTGAGAAGCAGAAGAGAACAGTGGTCATTGCAGGAGATTGCAAACATGACAGTATGGGCCATTCTGCAAAATATTGTGCTTACACAAGATTTTGTTGCTCTTTGCCTATGATTCTTCATTTTGAACTAATTCAAGTATGCCTTATTGACCTACTTTTTATGACAAATTAAGGGTGGCTATATTTACCCCACCATTTTTTTTTATGGCTAATGTATTATGGTGAGATTTTGTTTGAGAGGTTTTTGTAATGGGAAGTATGCCTTCTCATATTTTCAACCTATGCTTTTAGACACAAATTGTCTAGAAGCAATAGTCACTGCTACATTTTGATATCACTTTGTTAACTCTAACTTAGGACACATGTAAATATGTTTCTGTTTAAATCACAATTCTTATTTTAGAGGAGGAGGGAAATAGCCTTGGAATACATCGATTTTTAAAAATGTATGGATTACATGCTGAACTGTAGACTTGATGTTTCTACCATTGTGACAGACTGCCACAAATCAATACAGAAGCACATGTGTGAGAATGTGAATCAAATAACACATTATTTTGACTTATGGCACATTAAGAAAAGTTAGTAAAGTTATTTCATAAAAGATGTAGGTTGTGTTCAGTTTTAAAAGTGTAAACATAAATTTGTTACTTCATTCTAGAAACTGGAAAAGTATTGACAAAGCTGAGCAAAGAAAAAGGAAATTAAGCCTGTTTGCCCTTGGATTCGTCCTTGTGAGAATATTTTTGTATGGAGTGCAACATCAACTTTCTCTGGCAAGGGTACAATAATTTGGGAAAAATTTTTGTCTTTCCTGAGCCGTGTTATAAACAAACATGATGAACTAGATGAACCATTTTTCATTAAGTGTGCTCACGGTGACATTGAACCAAGGGAATGGTTGAAGAAAGGTACACTTGCTCACTATAGTTTCAAAGTTGTTTCTATTGTCAACAAGAACTGCAATGAGTGCGCCCTTATTTTTTTAAGGTAATAGCTATTTAATTATTTCCCACAGATTCCAATATGTATGAAAAATTGTTTGCGACTGTTCACTTGCATCAAAATTTGTACAAACCATAAAACTTTTTTTTTTACAGCAAACAAAAGCCCGAGCTAGACAGAAGTGCTTTAGTATCAAAAGTTGATGAAGGATCACAAGAACATTGATGTGGTTAAAGAGGAGGGAAATGCGAAGACAACTAATGGAACCAGTGTAGCAAAAGAAATTATACTGTTTATAAGGTTTAACCACAGTCATGTGAGGAAAAATAGCACAAATATTCAGATCTGCTTGTATTCTTTTAATTATTTACTCTTCGTCAGATGATGTTTCCTCTTTAACGAAACTTTTATCTTTTGGTGGCATAAATTGTTTTCTTATAGAGTGATACATACATGATGGAAGTGAATATCTTACTCTTCCAAGGCATCCATGAACAAAATATGTCAGACTTTGGTTGAGAATAAACTTGTCTTCTCCTTGTGCGGAGTTTGTGAGCTGAATGCTGTAAAGACCACCTGTTTTAACGTATAGGAGAAAAGCAGGATGGTGTGTAATGCACAAGGGGACTTCACAAACTTCCTAAAGAAGTTGTTCATCATGGAGAGTTATAACACATGCGTTGATCTCCTGTCATCACTGAAATTCAAAGGCATTTTGCAACAATTCTGTGTTGCAGTAGCCGCACGTGCACCTACACAAGCAAAATAATATTGAAAATTATTTTGATGCAAGTATAATCAGATAATGCTCTAGCGTTGAAATCGAGGTGAATGACTTATATGCTCTAGAAAAGGTAAACACAAAATGTAAATCTTTACCATTCCTCCAGGGGTTTTGACCCATCTAGTCGCATGCTTAAACTGCTCAATCTCTCTTCGTCTTCATGTAGTTCATTTTCGTATCGTTCTTGCCAGTCTTCACTGGCTAAAGGTTCTCCTTCGTACGGAAAACTAAACATGGCGTGATTGTTTTCTCTATTAGAGCATTAAGATTCAACTAAAACGCTTTCATCGACTATTATATCATACGTTTCGTTGTCAGATAAATCAAAAGATGATGATGCTGAGATAGACGACGACATTTTAACGAAAAAAGTGCACTGCACTCAAATCATCATAAAAATCGGTTATATCTTTCACAAAATGGGTTTATATCTTTAAGGCCCGTTTACACGAACAATTTTAATATAACAATTTTTATGCGACAAATATATGAGCTATTGAGTTCTATAATAACTTAATTATATGTTTGTGCTATCATATAATTGTTATTATAGTACTCAATGATATGACCGTGTAAACGAAACAACATATATGTAAATTAGTAAATATACCTGGTTGCATGGCGATTATGTATTGCGCCCATTATAATAATGAACAGTAACATGTCCATACTTCATTTTACGACGTACTTTTAATGCAATGTTTGTGCCAAAGTGGCGCTGACCAAGCCGAAAAAACAAACGGTGCACGAAGTGGAAAAAAAACAAAAGTCAAGATGATGGTGGGTAAAACCGTGCAAAACTACGCAGCGCCAATACGCGCAAGTTATAGCACAAAATTTAATTCAAGAGATCCGAGTGACTGACCATGATAAATTTAGAAATTTGTTTTGGTAAGTAAAGAGATGTAATAGTCTTTTTATTCGTGCTCTCTTTAAAATTATGCTAGTCAGTAGATTGTACAATCAATTCAAATTTTATGTTCTTTTTTAATATTGCTAATTTACCTATTTTCTTTACTATATTTACAAATTATAATCTTTACTACTTTTAAGGATGGGTTCCATTTTGTTTGATGAGCTATGTGAAAAGTTAACACCAATCATTGAAAAGAAAAACACCACTTTGAGAGATGCTATATCTGTTCATGATCGCTTGTGTGTAACATTAAAGTTCTAAGCATCAGATGCTCATACAAAGATTTGATGTACAGTTTGAGAATATCAGTTTCATCTATTTCAAAAATTGTACCTGAGGTTTGTGAAGCTTTGTATAATGTGCTGAAGGAAGAATACTTAAAGCCACCCACAACAAAGCAACAATGGATACACATTGCTGATGAATTTAAGTGCAAATGGCACTTTCCCCATGGATGCAGTTGGCACCATTGATGGTAAACATATCAAGTTGTGTGCACCTCCAAATTCAGCCTATGAGTTTTTTACCTATAAAAACATTTTAGCATAGTCCTCTTGGAAATTGCAGATGCAAATGCTAAATTCATCTTATTTGATCTTGGAGCCCCTGGCAGCCAGTCAGATGGAGGAATTTTTACAGACAGGCACTTAAAAACATACGCAAGACATGCTATTTCTCACAAGCCTAAGAACCAAGAGATACATTATTGCCTATACCTTACTTTCTGCTTGGAGATGAGGCCTTTGCTTTGAATGAAAATCTATTGAAGCCATATCCACACCAGACTGCAATAGGTGATGAGAAAGTTTTTAACTATAGATATTCACGAGCACAAAAAAATTGTTAAAAATGCATTTGGATTGATGTGTACTTGATTCAGATGTCTTTTGAGAACATTGGAGTTGGATATTCCACATGCATTGCAGGTGGTGAGGGCTTGTATGGCACTGCATAACCTTTTGATAATTCAGAAGGACCAGTTTTACACACATCCAGGATGTATGGACGTTGAAGATGAAGTAGGAAATGTTGTGAATGGTTCTTGGAGAACACAACTAGGCAATGAAAATAAAGTATGTGACATCCAGCCAGATGCCCGCCCATCATCAATTCATGCAAGACAAATCAGAAATGCTCTTAAAGACTATTTCTTTGAAGAAGGGGCAGTTGATTTTAAATGGACAATGACAAACTAAGGAATTATAACAAAGAAATAAATTTACCTCATTTGAATATAAAAAATATATGAAAACTTGTTTTGCTGGTTGATGTTGTCCTTTATATATATATATAAATCCAGTAAAGTAAACTTAAA